GTTACTGCATTACTAGTGGTACTTAAGGAGAAGGTTGAGTTCTGGAAGAGGTGAAAAATAATTTATGAGCGTTATCATTTTATTATGCCAGTGTGGAAGAACATCAGATAAACAATTTTCAACTTTATCTTTAAGTCTACACATGAATAACACTTTTCAGGGAAACTGTAGGCAAAAGTGAGCGTTAAAGATTTGTTTAAAGGATGCCTTCATCGTGATATATCATCACCCACCTATAAGTGGATGAGGGGTGTTTCAAATTGGAGAGAATATTACCACTCCTTTCTGTATCGTGTATCCGTTATCAATATAAAAATTGTAGTTACAAATTCTTGTATTCATAAAGTTCAAAGCCATTTTCATGTCTTAATTAGAAACGCGTCCCCTCAAAATATTCTTGGGGCAAGAACCAGGGAGGCCTATCGTGCAGGATATTTATGATTTTCTTTAAAGGAATCACTGTGCAACACCCGCTATAAGTAAAACTTACTAACCTCATACAGTATACAGTGATGTGCCGTTCTAATGGGTTACTTTTTTGCCAAAATCCCTAAACATGGGACATAACTTTGTGCTGCAAAATCCCTAAAAGTGCCCCAACTTTTTCAGATCTTGGCCTTAAACATGTTGTTGTTGTTGTTGGTAAATGTTTAATGGCGTTCATTCAGTAATGAATATATACGCCATAAATATCTTCAATTTTATAAGAAAATCAGTTATAGTCTTCATAAGAAAACTGAGAATAAAGATTTGTAATGAAATAATTAATTAATAAGTAACGCAATTTATTCAGAGTCTCTCGATGGTTTTCAACTTCGTGTTTCTGCTTTTTTTTTTAAAGTTTAATCTGGTCAGCCCGGTTTCGATGCATGAAAACTAGCTATGCCCCGATTTGAAACAGGCTTCTCGGCTACTCGGCGTGCGTGCGCATTGATCTTTTTATTTTGTAACGCACGGTGCCTTAAACATGGGGAACTATTTCCTTCAGAAGAATATCTCATCCATCATCTCGCTAAAGTGAAAATTCCAGATGCAGAATCCCACAAAAATAATTGAAATCATTTCGCTTTTTCATGCAAAGTCCTCGCCTATGGTCGTACAGATTTATCAATATCATTAATTTGAGCTTCATGCATTGACATGTACATCACGAAAAACAATGAAAATATTTTTGTCCAAAAAAAACAGCCTTGTGACTTGGCCTATTTTCCTTCCTAGAAATGTGAGATAATTAATCTAATTAAAGGTGACAAAACAAGCAAACCCAGCAAGTTGGAAGAGAACCGCCTTGGAAAATATCCACTGCTTTCAATAGAATCGTCACACCCGGTCGTCCCAGTTTTATTCTAGTAAATTCAAGAGTATAAAGTGAGCTCTTTCCAGATGTGCTGCTCCTGGGTGCTGCTCAGTCGGGGACCGCTCGCTATTCTTAAGGACCGCTATTCATAATTTGATAAAAAGGATCATTATTCATAATAAAAAATGGGGTCGTTATTCTTAGGGGTCCCTATTCATAATACTAGAAGAGGGTCGCTATTTAGTATATACGTCTTATGAATACAAAACCTAATTTCGTATTATGAATAGCGGTCCTTTTAATAAGTAGTCTCCCCCTCTAAAAATTATGAATAGTGCCAATTCTTCATGTTTATGAATAGCGACACCGGTTTCGTATCATGAAAAGCGTTACTTATGAGAAATGACCCTCAATGTGCATTATGAAAAGCGACCCTCATCTCACATTATGCATAGCGGTCCTCAGGCCTTCATGAATAGTGACCCCTTTTTCCTCGTTATGAATAGCGGTCCTTATAGGAATAGCCGTCCTTAATATGACTAGCAAAGTTACCCTGCCTGCCCAGTCTGCTTTTTAGTGGATTTTCCCCACAAATTCTTTTTCCAATTTGCTACATTATTGTTACAAACTGATGGATTTCAAATCAAAAGAGCTAAAGAGGCTGTACTACAATGGGAAGTGCAAGAAAGCGTCCAACGTTTAAAAGAAATTAGAGGGGGGATGGGTATGGGTTTAGAAGCTTCAGCCGCACATCCCCGTCCAGCAGACCGAATCTGAGGTAGTGAGCACATTTTTTTTTTTTGGTCCTCGAAAATTAAAAAAAAAATCTCAAGGGGGGGGGGGTGGCGGGCCCCCCGGGCCCCCACCCTGGATCCGCCACTGAATGCAACCCAGACGGTCTCGAAATTCGTACTTTTAAAAGGTCACAATCGCTTTTTATTGCTCTCACTTATATTGTACAGTCTATTTCTATCTGAAATATATAAGGCAGAACAAAAATTTTCATCACCATCCGACTCTTACATGTTACATCCCTACAGGTCCCGCGGAACGTTTTTAAAAGTGGGAGGGGGAGGGGCTTAAATATTTACGACCAGGTAGAGTGGAGCGTAAATTGACGTTGGGTCCAGGGCCCCTAATAGGGTCTAGGGGACAGAGCCCCCGAAAGCTACGGGATTTAGGCATTTAATAACGGTCGGATCCATAGGCCCGCCTTAGGGCCCTTGGTGGGGTCCAGGTGGTGCAGCACGGGGGTGACACAAGATATCGATTTTTTTTTTTTGCGCTGGGCTGGGCTTTAGAATTCAAAGCTCGTTTCACAATTACATTTTTAAATAAATGGTATTATATGGTGCATATCTTTTGTTTCTTTTATAATATTTTTAACAGTCTTTGTCATGTCTCTTTGTCTTTTGTATACGTCCTCTTACTTTTTTCTTTTCTCTCTCTCTCTCTCTTTCTCTCTTGCTTTTTTGGGGGGTGACCGCCCCCATCGCCCCCCCTGGCTATGCGCCTGGCCCTAACACCGTCCATCTGGATAGGGGCGAATAATTGAACGTGACAGACGGTACAAGCAAAGTATGCAGGCATTGAGATAATGACATAATAGAAATATTAGTCAACAATTACATTTAAAGCATCATCTTTCCCTGGTGTGCTTTAAGTGACTCTCACACTCTGCCGTGTAGGCCTACCGTGTGCCACCGTGCGCGAAAATGTCTGCGGACGGTGGAGAACGGCGAGGGCACACGGTGGTTCGTTATCAAAGCGGGCAACACGTTAATAGGGCGTTGGCGCTTATTTACACCCGGTGGGACCGGGCGAAAGTTTTGGGCATGTTCAAAACTTTGGCCGGCTGGCACCGGCCGCAAGTAAGCGGCAAGAGGACGGTGTTGAACGGTATGAGGACGGTATGAATACGTTATGAAAACGGTCACACTGTATGAACACGTTCACAACACGCTCATAACCCGTTACAGAACGGTGATGAAAAATGGAGAGCGGACTGACCGTTGCCGTTCAAATCGGGGTATTTATGGCAGTCGTGTCATGACGTCAGCAGTCCGGGGACTCGCTCACAGGACGCTCCGAGCGGTGAGGGGACGCTAAGTGACTGGTAGGTGGCTGCTACAAACCCAGTGCACACGTTCGAGACCCGGTATGGGCCGGTATGGAAACGGCCAAATTTTTTAACAAAAGTCAATCTGGGCGGTGAAGACGGTAGAAGCACGTTCAACACCCGGTATGCGCCCGGTGAGAACGGTCAGAAGATGGCAACGAAACGGTGAAAAGATTAATTTATGAATTTTTTTTTTTGCGGCCGGGGACAAGTTCGCTCAAAACCCAACGTTCTGGACTCTGATGTTTTTTTAATAGCCCGGCAGGTGAACGGTAGGCCTACACGGCAGAGTGTGAGAGCTCCATTAGCGGTAAATGATCACAAATAATGATAATTAAAGTTATGTGCAAGTCAAGTTTAATCTTCGATCTTCGATCGAAGCATTGAAAATATAAAACGATGTAAGGATTATTTGTCATGATGTCAAATTCCAAGAAGTACAAAAAGCATAAAGTCTACAAAATTATATTTTTACGTCAACAGCGTAACAGAAGGGACACAACTTTGTTTTACCTTTGACCTGATATAAACGTTACATAATTTGTTCATTTATATTTTGCGCGGAGTAAAAATTCGGGCGGCGCCTGCTCACTTTCACTCGCCGCCCAAAGTACGCTCGGTGCCCGGGCGGACGCCGCCCGGGTACCGACCTAATCGAGCGTTCGCCGTCAAGCGATTTAGGTCAACTGATATATTCAAGGTCGCCGCTGGGACATCAGTCGGTCACTGCGCGGCGAGTCCGAAATCGGTCGGCAGCCTTTGACCTAGCGGCTTCGAGTTTTGACCTAAATCGCTCGACGGCGAAAGCTCGATTAGGTCGGTGCGCGGGCGGCGAACGCCCTGGCACCGAGCGTATTTTGGTGCTCCACCGATCACCGGCCGGCCGCCGGGCAATTTCTTTAAAATCAGCCGGTGGCCGATGGGAGACCGCTCGAGAATCGGTGGGTCATCAGTCGACACTGCCGGGACGCCGCCCAGAGGAGCTCCCCGATTTCGCTGGACGATGTCTAAATTCCAGCGGCGACCGAGCAGGCTACTAATCGGTCGGTCGCCGCTCTGATTTTTGACAATAGCTTAAGAGAGAGAGACGACGATCTGTCTCCTCCCTGGTGTAGATTATTTTTTTAGTCGGATTGTCGGTGTGACCGAGGAAGCCAACTACCCCAGAAAATGATATAAACGGCATCGTTTAACAATGTTAAATCTGAGATGCACGGCCCTACGTGTTATCAGTGTCTGTGATATGGTGTAATATTCATGCCCTAAAAAATCGCGCTTCAAAATGATCAAGAAGTGCCTCAAAAAAGTAAAAAAATCTTGAGTGACCGGTATTACCATACTCGTTTTCCCCAGTAGACTGTAGTGTTGTGAAAACCGTTTGGCAAACGCAAAATTTAGATTTGATTTCCAATCATAAATATCTTCATAATCAGACAGGCGATTGGCTTGTAAAAGTCATGGGATTCCTGACTGACTTTAAGGTTTATAATTATCATTGCAGGATGAGCTAAATACAGAATTTTGTTTCAGAATCTGAGACAAAGTTACCGGATCCCTTTAAAAGAATTCATTTAAAACGAATTATACAGTTTACCGTTCAGAAAATGTGGGTATTTATTTGCACTAAACCTTTACAACGTTCACAATCTAAAGCGAAATGTTGTGTTAATTCCATTTTCTATACAAAATGCTGATTCAACTTTCTATGAATGGTTTAGATAATAACATGAGTGACAAAAACATCTTTTGAATAGAGAAAAGTGGTTACGTTCTTATATATATTCTTCTTTGGTTAATTTTGACGAAAATACGATGAGCCTTAGGCTTAGGTTCAATATCCTTCTACCCCTACATCATTTACATCCCACAGACGTCTCTGTCTTTTGCAGAAAGCTACACATGAGCTGACGCAACGCCTTTGCTGAACGGTGTCCCTCAGGGATATATTGGTGGGCCGCTCTTATTCTCCATATACACCCAGTCACTATTACTATCATTATTATAAGCTAATTTCTAATTTCATAAGATTGATACGAAATCAATGGGGTTTTATAGTAATTATCTAGAAATATGTCCAAATCATATCCTGTTTTAGCAACTTCTATTACGAATATACTTTCTACTCATCACGAGCGAGGATAAGTGCAGCGAAGAGACAGACAACGTTGAGAAGAATAAAAACAGTGGCGTGACCGGATGAACCAGTTTCTCCGACCTCCAGCTGGTCGCCATAGTGATCTAGAAGGGACATAATGACGCCATTGGTCCATCCAAAACCAGCCTGTTGTAGAGATCAGATATAATGATATTGATTTACAATATTTTATTTTCATTATGGTTTTGAAAAGCAACACAGAGCCATCCATGTACTGAGTTTGACCAACCCGGTACTCATTGGGCACAATGTAGCGAATATTGCCTTGTCAACAAGCGTAAAACATATAAAATAAACACTATATTGTTTCCAACTGAGACTAAGTTGGCCCAGCTCTGTGTATAGATGGCTCTGATGCAACACGGGAGTATATCTAAAGGGATGGCGCTGTCGGAAGACCCGTTTCACAGTTAAAGGTATAGACCAGTTCTTGTCGTGCGATTGCATTGTGAAAGAAACGTTGGGGAATCGATCAGGAAAGGTTGATTATCTAACATATAAGTATTGGCGTGTACTGCAAGGTTCTGGAATCATCAAAATAATAAGAAATTTGGTCCAGTCTTGGTAAAGTTATGTACACAAAAAGATGTATATGGGACTCCGCGATATCTATCCAGGCCGGATCGATATGATAATTTACCAAATATATCAATCAGTAGGCGGTTTCCCGGCAAAATTTGTATCATCACGTATTAGTCAAAACATATTCTTTCACATGATTGGTAATAAGAGCTTCCCATTCATTTTTTTTTATGAGGGGGGGGGGCGTTTTCAAAACTGGTGTATACCTTTAAGCCCTAAAACGATTTTGAACAATTCGAAATATATCATTTAATTTGAACATTAAAACTTGTAAAATCAAACATTCCAGAGATTGCAAGCTTCCTTGGAAGAGGAAAAGCTATTTCGGCTCAGAATGACAGTGACGTCAGACCAGGGGGCCTGTTTCATGAAACTTGTTATGTATAACAAATGCTAAATTTCTATGACAAAATCGCTCTCAGCCAATCAGATGCCATGATTACGGTAGCTTATAACAGTAGCTTGTAACTTGTTATTGATATCAAGTTTGATGAAACAGGGTCAAGTAGTGCGATTGTCTACGAGTTGAAGCCGATTGAAAACAAAATCTTCCAAAATACGTGTAGTTTTACATCAACGATTATCCTTCGGTGGCTTTCTCAGTCTGCAGTCAGTTTTCCAAGCTGTGTAATATCTACAGGATGATTGAGTGCAACTGATATCTTTTCGACAATCAATAAATATCATGAAGTGAGACGTGTTTTTTTTTCTCGGTGTATCATTTTGTATTTTGTCGTTGACTCACCTGAACGGCGTATTCCCCACCATGCCCAGGCACGCCTTGTTTTTCCACATCGTACTGAAATCGGATAATGTTATTAGTAGAAAGAAAACTGTTGATGTTTCTTAGAAGTAGGCCTATTGTCATCAAGCCTGAGCATGAAGTCAGAAACAAATACGTCAGGTTAACTTTATATACATAGACAAGTCAAGATACCCCTTCCCATTTTGAATATTCAGAATGACTAATGCCTCACATTCGGGGTACAAATATTACCTTTTTCGCCCCCGCTCCCTTTAACCCGTTAACTACTGAATTCTCACATTCCCATAGGCTTTAATACAGGAGCTACCAGGTTCCAGTAGGCAATGGGTCGATTTTTGTTCAGTTATTCCTTTCCAGTCATTTTCTTGAAGTATAGTTCTTCTACCTAGAGCCTGTTGGCTAACTTTCCGAATCACAATAGCAAAGACTTTTAAAACGTCAACCTAAAGCAATAATTTATGAACCATTTCCGTAATGAAATCAAATTTATGGCACAAATCTTGGTTAAGTGACTCATTACAAATGATTTCATTCGCCTGTTATGAATAATTGTATTTCAATTGTCAGAATGCGGATTGCATACATTAGTTTTTGCTAGTTAGAACAAACATAATGGCTTGTCCTACCTAACGGCACGTAATATAATAAACCACGCAATAGACATGTGTGATATCAATATATATGCATTTGTTTACATATGTTATCATTGTTTATAAGATGATGACGTGGATCCGAATCAAATATTGGCTGAACGCGTACACGTGACCACGCATTTATTTTGCCTAACGCGTAATTTGGATAATGACCGACCGGTCATTATCCAATTCTAATGACCGGTCGTTAGTAAAATCATGTTATAAAACATCATTTTATAAAACAAATAAAACTTAATCTTATATAACAAATAATACACATCATTTGTTCGGACATTAGTCAAAAATACCGACACTCGGTACCTTAAAAACAGTTCAAAAATCCTCGGGCGTGTTAGACTGTTCCAATGGTACCTTGTGTAGATAATTCTTACTAATGCCCTCACTGCTGTGTATTATTTGTATACTAGCTTTAAATACTTGGTCTTGCATTTAATTTGGCGTGTACATGATTCCAAAGTTGCTTATCACAATACAGGTGGAGTAGGGTCTTTTTGCTACCCTGTCTCTCTCCTCTTGTTTCTCCTGAAAATGTATCAGAGGATACTATCAAACGACAGTATAGTATTAATGACTGCTTTGAGAGAAATAGTTGTTTTATTACGCTCAAGGGAAGGTTAGAATTGTGCTATTCCCCGAGGCTTGCCGAGGGGAATAGCCCAATTGTTACCTTCCCGAGAGCGTATGAAAACAACTATTTCTCGAATATTAAAGCAGTCATTAATACTTTTATATGCCGAAAAAAAATAGACTAAAAAATGAAAAATGAAAAATATTTATCATTTTTGTCGAAGACGGGATTCGAACTCTTGCGTACAACAAGAGGTGTACCGAAAACCAACGCTTAGACCACTCGGCTATGGCCCGCCGTTAACATGCTTGGCAGTTTTCTCCAATATATACATTAAAACGGATTGAAACCGGCTTCGCGTGTGATGAATGCTTCGCAAAAGCTCCATATACGGACTCTTCTTTTACTATTGCAATGCATATTGGCACGAACTTAGATCAAGATCTATCGGCAGATGTTGTTTTTTGTTTTTGGAAGTTTATTTTCGTCTTCATGTCAACAATGCAAGATAAAATTGTCGGTAAGATCGATCGAGATTCAATTGTATTGAAATTACCGACCAATCCTTCGCACACATACGGCATCCTCCATCGCTCAAACCATTTTTTAACATGTAAACCTATGGGGTAACCATGGAGGCTGACCAACTATTTTTAATAACCATGGTTATTAAAAATATTGAAATGTTTTAAGCATGGTTACCGAGAATTTTACAGGAACAGTTGAAGTTTATGAATGCAATTCGACCAATCAGATGGCTGGATTTCTTAAGTGAGGTATATAATACATAATACCAGCGGGCCAAGAGGATAAAGCCCCCCCCCCCCCCCCCCCTTCCCCGTGACCGCTGCGTTGGTCTCCATCGCCTTCTGCACACCTTTCCTGGGATCTTCACCAAACGAACATTATCAATATTGTGAACTTTCGGTCTGCTGGGATGTTTCTGTTTAAAAGCTTTAAGTATTCAAACGTGTAATATATAGCCTTGTTCAATTAATGACACGCTGTAGTTTGGACAAAAAACATATACGTCTGCCCTATTTGTGAGTAAACTGACAGGGTATAAGTTTCACACATATGTTTTTGTGTCCATTTTCCCAATCATTTCTGCAATGTGAAAAATAAAAAAAAAATCATTATAATTCAACATTAATTCAACTTTTTATCCAAAAGAGATATTCATAACAGAAAAGGCCATTATGAATGTCTTACTCAGTGGCGTATCTACTGGGGTTGCAGAGGGGGTACGTTTCCTGGGCGGCACTTAAAAAAATATGGGGCAGAAGAAGGCAGAAAGAAGGGAGGAAATGAAAGCGGGAAAAAATCATGATCCTAAATTAATGAATGAATTATGGTTTTAGAAAGAAGTCAATAACAAACTATTGATTAATGTTCAAAATTCGAAACTCGGTTCCCTTACAGCCGAGGATTGTTAAAGTTCCAATATATGGGTAAAGGCATAATAAATTGCAATTTTGTTGGGTTGAAACTGCAAAAAAAATATAGCGCAATTTAATTGTGTAAGAGCAATATTCAGGCCTTACAATTAGTCACTTTACCTTTTACTTCTTTGGAAACGGCCCAGAAGATGTTCGACATTAATTTAATTAAACACCTATGGGGAAGAGATTGAGCAATACCTTTTCAAACATGAGGTCGGTCTCTTTGTAAGCTCTCCAGTTCGTCAGAGTCCAGTTCTGGGCTAGTTTTAGAGCATAGTCATTCGCCTCCTCGACGTCGCTTTTGCGTAGCGTCTCGATGACGATGTCCTGGAGAGGTGGCCAGGCATTCGGGTAGTCCCACTGCTGTCCCGATTTCGTCAATGATGTCGGGATTCCGCCAGGAAACTCCAAAACACCTTCTTTCTGAAAGGAAATGACATACAGGGGTCCGTTTCATAAAACTTGTTATCTATAACGAATGCTAAATTTCTATGACAAATTTTTTCTCAGCCAATCAGATGCCATGATTTCAGTAGCTTATAACGGTAGCTTGTAACGTGATATTGATAACAATTTTTATGAAACAGGGCCCAGAAGTTTTTCAAAAGTTGGTTTTTCAAAAGGTTCGTAATTCCAAAGATTTATGACTTAGAAAATAGACTAGGTTTTTTTCTCTTCAGGGTATGACATATGGTTCACAATTCAGAAAATAAATAAGGGTTTGTTTTTCAGGATATGAAGTAGGCTTCGAAACTCAGAAAATGAATTAGGATTCGTTATTAAGGGTATGAAATAGAGCTCACAATTCCGAAAAATGTAAAAATGTACAGATTTCCGAAGGTTTATAATTCCGAAAATGAACGAGCACTGTATCGTTTCGGAATTATGACCCATTGACCCTTAATTCATTTTCGGAATTATGAACCCCGATGTATAGGATATCTGTGCTTCTGAATTATCACACGGTTTCCATGGTAACAACAATCTTTGGACCTTATCTACTTACTTTAAGGTAGTCAAGGACCTGCTGTTGTATGTCATTCGTATCGTCGTAACACGACGCCCACATGGGCATGATATTCGATGGGTAGAACTGATCGACAATGTCTTCGTCGACGATATCGTAGTCGAACCAGGCGCCTTCGTCCTCGCTCCAAAGTACCTCACTGATGGCCCGTTTGCGGTCGTTGAAGGCCTGGAGGTATGTAGCAGCTTTGGATTCATTACCTGCATGATGGGGGGGGGGGGAATAATGAATTGATTTGTAAAACAAGTCACATTTGAAGGGAGAAATTCAGTCATTTTGCATGTAGCGAATATCACATTATTGCATAATAATACAAACAAAAACAGCAGTTGTCTTTCGTTCACTACTACGTTTTCTAAACGCTTAATATTGTCATGATTATTTCCGTACTCCTCCGGCCATTACATTCAATTGCTATTCCGCAAATGATATTGCACGCGTTCCGCTCCCTGGGTATTATTCCAGCCAGGCGCCAATTTGCACGCGTGCTCATGCCAATTATACCGGGTACTCGATCATTTAGCACCTGGGTGGAGAAAGAAGTAATGTATATAAGATGCCTTACTTATTGTTATTAAGGCATATCGTAACAATCCTTATGCCCTTTGAAGTAATGTAGATAATATGCCTTGCTTATTAAGGCATAGCGTAACAATCCTTATGCTCTTTTGAAGTAATGTAGATACTATGCCTTGCTTATTAAGGCATAGCGTAACAATGCTTATGCTCTTTTGAAGTAATGTAGATAAGACGCCTTGCTCATTATTATTAAGGCATATCGTAACAATCCTTATGCTCTTTTGAAGTAATGTAGATAATATGCCTCGCTTATTAAGGCATAGTGTAACAATCCTTATGCACTTTTGAAGTAATGTAGATATTATGCCTCGCTTATTAAGGCATAGCGTAACAATCATTATGCTCTTTTGAATAAGCTAGCTCCTGCAGCTGTTGTCGGAGTACGGCTGGCCTGCTTTTTTATATCAAGGAGTGCTTCTTTAAAGGGAGTGAGTCTTCAGTTCCATGTGCAGAAGGCCACGATTAACTGTCACCAGACCTGGTGGAAACAAATCATTAACGTGTGCATACGGGTCTGCACACAGCGTACCCGTAGGCCAATTAAGAAATACCCCTCGTCTCTCGGAGAGTCTTCGGGGGAGGGAAAAATGAGATATGGAATTTACCATGTGGGGGAAGGGTGACAGGCAGTACATTACATAAGGCCTGCTAGTCATAAAACTGAAGGCTAATTCTGGTGAATGACAGTGACTCTTATTGGGTAAACACCCGAACGGTCCCCATGAGAGCTAAGTGCTATATGTCTTTAAAGTAACCATTTTTAAGCGATACTGAACTGATTAACTTTCTGCCCTACCCTACTGTTTATTAGCTACATCATGATCAACTGTCTTGCACTGTCTAACTAATTTCAATTTCGTAAATAGAGTTCGAACAGTGGAGTGAAGCCACGGTCGCAGTAGGTAATACGGAGCGACACTGCTACAGCTGACCTGAGATGGCGCTCTTTTTCTTCTGTTCTAGCTGTGCAGCTGTGGTTTTAAAGACCGTCAATACTACTGGGCCAGAAGGGATTAGACCACACAGCGAGGTCACTGACAGGTGGCTATCTCATTAACTCAGCTCTCAACTAACATAAGAAAAAGAGTATCATGGGGGACCAACAGGCACCAATTGGGGAAGTTTTCTATATATAGGGAGCAAGTAGCTACAAGTAGGACAGTGGGGCTTTAAACCGGGGTCACAAGCAAGACGTAGTTCATATCTTACCTGTCGTATTATACATCTCGTAGAGGGCCCATTCACTTAGACACAACACGCTGTTCAGGTCTACTGGAACTATTTCTTTAGTGCGGATGGATCCAAGAGTTGCCCCATCACGGAACCAACGCGTCGAGAAGTCCCATCCACTCTCTGCTGCTGAGGCGAGGTTGGAATATACCTCCGCGGCTTCCTCTACACAGAACAAATGCAAAAAAAAAAGAATCAGTATCAAACTTGGAATGGAAAAAAGCCTGCTATTAGGAAAAAAACATTATAATAATAGATAATGATATAAAAGACTCATTACTAATTCTCGTTTTTTTAAATAAGAATTTTTGTACAAAAAGTGTAAGAAGACCCCTTTAAGTTATAAATTGTTTTCATGGGGGATTTTTTTTCTTCTGTATCAATAGAAGCAGTTTGCAATTTTAAAAAAAAACAGATCTTACGCAGAAAGCGTTACAATAATCGGGACACAGAAGACCTTCTTTTTTGCTAATGTTGTTTTTGTTAGAATTTCAATCGAAGAGAAGCGAAAGCAGGAATTTATAAGTGAATGGAATTTTAATTTTAAGGACTCACAAGGCAACCAACTTTGCTTAGCTTTGAGCCCTTGTCAATTTTTTTTAAAAACATATATCGTTTTATTCATGCTTATATCCAGAACTGAATAAATTAGGAAATGAAATAAAAATCAAATACAAATCAAATTATATATTTATTTAATTTCTGATTTGATTTGATTTTTTTCTGTATTCATGTATCACAGTACACAGTTTTTCGATAACAATAATAATATAAAGTAAAATAAGTATTTTTCTGACCATGAATAATAAATAATCGAATATATATACATACACAAATTGTTATTTTCACAAACGAAATGATAAACTGTCATAAATACTAAATTTGCTCTAACATTATAAAACATTACAAATTATTTGCGGAAGAAGGACTGTCATTGTAATTAAGCAGATTGATTGAGAATACAACAGCCCCAGACAAAACTCATTAAATAGATTAACACATTTATCAAGCAGAATGGAAAGGTAATTGAAAATACAAATTTTGATGATAATGATATTGACACTACAGATGGGGATGAGGATGATGATGATGATGATGATGATTCGAAGGAAAAAAGAGATGACATTATGATAAAGACTGAAGAGTTGACACAGCAACGTTAACTTGAATATTTTGATAATAACATCGTTTTAACTTTGGCCGTGAATGAGTTGAGGGAGCAACATGATTTAATAGATTTTGGGAGACAGTTCCATAGATCATGGATCTATGGGCAATAAGTAATTTCTGGTTTACTAGATGACAAATTGTATATGTTAATATGTTTGTAGTAATTACCTTCATTTTTACCATCTGCTGTTTCGATATCTTCACGGTATGATTCGGGCCTGCAACAAGGGAGATTATGAAAGACAAGGTATAAAGGTTGATGTTTGCTTGCAGCACTGTGGTTGATTTAATCGTTGAATTGCCGATTGGTCTACAACCAGTTCGTCTACTACCCAATTGGTCTATTCCCAAATGGTCTACATCCAGTTCGTCTACTACCCAATTGGTCTATTCCCATATGGTCTATATCCAGTTTGTCTACTACCCAATTAGTCTATTCCCATATGGTCTATATCCAGTTCGTCTTCTACCCAATTAGTCTATTCCCATATGGTCTATATCCAGCCCATATACTGTTCACATGGTCTCATTACCTTGTTAGGCGCCTTGAGCATCTCTTGGGGTGAATATGTGCGCATTACAAATGTTGTTATAGTTATTATTATTATTATTATCATTTTGCCTAATCATCATTTGGTCTAATGACTATTTGGGCTAATAGTCATTTGGGCTAATTTCCAAGAAGTGTACGACCTATTTTGTTTAGAATCACATGGTCTAATTCTCAGTTAGTCTATTTCCCAGGGTGTATAATGCCCATTATGTCTACTATCTATATGGTCTAATAATCAATTAATCATAAATAATCATCAAATAATCATTACGGATGGTAGACAAAATTGGCATTATACCAACTGGGAACTAGACCGACTGGCAATTGGACGAAATTTGTGTGACAGACCTAATGGGAGGTAAACGAAATAGTTGAAGACCAAACGGTTATAAACCGATTAATCCAACCAAAAGCAGATGCAGATATCAATAAGGACCAATAAGGACCATCTGTTGTGATAGCAATGCTTGAAAAAGAGAAAAGAACACTCACACAAACACACTCACACAAACACACTCACACAAACACACCCACGCAGTGGCATAGCCTGATAAGCAAAGACTTTTTTTGGGGGGGGCAGAAAAATCCGTATCACACCTATTACTTGTTACATGCAGTACTCGCGGAAGTTTTTCAAAGTGGGGGGGGGGGTACTAAAGTATTTACGATCAGGTAGACCAAAACGAGCGAAACAAGTGGAGCGTAAATTGGGGTGGGGTCCAGAGACAAAGCTCCGTCAGGAGTCAAGAACCGGAGTCCCATGAAGCTCAGGGGTTTTAGGCATTTAATTACGGTCAGATGAGCATACAGAGGCCCGCCTTAGGGTTCTGATTGGGTTCAGGGGGCAAAGTCCCGGAATTTCATGGGTTTTAGGCATTTAACTAAGGTCAGATGAGCAACCAGGTCCGTCTTAGAGCCCTTAGTGGGTCCAGGGGGCAGAGCCCACGGAAACTCTGGAGAAAAACATTAAATTTCAGCAACATTTTTAATGGAAATAAGAAAATCGCACAGAACCTGTAACTACAAGCGGGCACAATTTTGGAAAGGGGGCAGGCACACGTCAAGTCACGCCACTTTAACTTTGAAACAATATTTTTTTTTTTAATTGAGCATGTTCCTTTCTGTTTGGATTGAATTCAATAAAGTTTGAATTCGAATTTCAACAAAAACAGGTAATTTTTCTTTTTGGGTCAAAGGGGGGGGGGGGGGAGTTGAGTAAAAAAAAAAAGAGCTCCAACCCCCCTCCCCTATGAGCCCCCCCCCCTAAAAAAAAGTGCTCACTACCCAACCCCCCCCCCCACCCAACACACACACACTCTTAACGGCCGACTGGCTGTGTCGCTGCTAAATAGTTTTTCACGAAAAAAAGTGCTCACTTCCCGCACCTCCCCCCCTTTCCCGCCCTTTCGGCCGGTCGAATGAGTCGCCGCTAAATATTTATTCACAGATTGGGTTCCCTCCCTCGCCGCCGGCTAGATCCACCCCTGACAACAACTGGTAGTGGTATGTACTTGAAATACAAATTAACTCTTGTCCTCCATGTCAGTAAATTTGTTGAGAGAACTTAACTTCTTTCACCACTAGACAAAATAAAAATACATGCCTATTTCTCTCCTCCCTCTTTTCTTCTTCTTTCTCTCTTCCCTTTTCTTTTTCCCCTCCCTTTTCTCCCTTTTCTTTTCCCCCTTCCCCCTTTCCCCTTTTCTATTGGAGGGGGGGGGGCACGTGCCCCTGTGCCCCCTGAATCCACCACCGATATTATGATTAATTGTACAAAACTACTCAAATAAGATACATGTTTTTGTTTATTTGTCAACAAAGAGAAAAATCCCTATCATGTTCAAATTAACTCTATAACATGTATAAAGAAATAAAAATTGAGTTGCTTTTTCGACATGAAATGGCAAAAAACAAAAAACAAAACAAACAAAAAAAAAAAAGCCTTTTTTGCTTGCGCGCGTGCTAACGCTCCTCCGCAAGCCTCACAGCGTATTCAGTCTCATATATATATATATATATATATAGGAACCAGCGCCAGAAAATAAAGCAATGTTACAAACGGACCAGTTAAACCGAGTCGATACCTACCTCAAATCGACTTATTTTAGCCATTAGGGATAAAGTAATTTTATATTCGGTCTGTTATCTGTCTGTTGTCAGTCTCGTTGACATGGTTCCTCAGTCACAGCGCCAAACAGACCAGTTCTGAGCCATTTAAACTCGTTTATTTTTCCTAAAAACTTGTAATAACAAATACTAAATTTCAATGACAAATTAGCTCAAAGCCTATCAAATACAACGAGTTTATATATAAATAATTGTACCTTGCTATTGATAACAAGTTTTATGAAACAGAATCTTGTTTTTTCGGTGTGTTGTCAGTCTGGAGGCGGTCACATCGGCGTGACCGCGGGGGCCGCGGTGACCGCGGTAGGACTGCGGTCAAATTATTACCTGGGCATGCCCATGTTGACGTTGTATCTATTCAACGTGTAAACATTCGCATCTTTGGTGATGTCTATGGCCCTGTCGGTCATCCAGAACTGGTACTCGATCTCGAGGTCGGGCAGGAAAGTGCGAATGGTTTCGATGTCGTCGGTGGCTTGAAGATAGAGGTAGACGGAGGGGATGAGAAACGGTGGTTGACTTCGCTTCTCATAGTAGACCCGGTTACCGTTAGGCACGTGACCAATACTGCTTGTAGCACAGTCAAAAGAAAGGTAAGAAAAAGTACATTATTAAAGTGACTCGGTATAAAGCATTGCCTCAGATTCTGAAACGAAATCCTGGATTTAGCTCATGCTAGGTCAGTCAGGAATGCCATGACTTTGGCAAGCCGATCGCTTGTCTGATTATCAAGATATTTGTGAATGGAAATCGAAATTTTGTTTTTCGTTTTCCTAACGGTCTTTATAACACTACCGTCTATTGGGGAAAATGAGTATAGTAAAACCGGTCACACAAAGATTTTTACTTCTTTGAGGCACTTCATGATCATTTTGAACAATTACATAATTTAAGAGTTTGCCGCTATTTTCTCGAGGCCGCCATCGATTTCAAGTTTACCGCTCACGATGGCGGTCTCCTGCGTTTTCTGTATTTTTTTCTTTTTTCATTGAAATCATATTTTTATTTGTATGCATCTTATTTAATGTACTTAAAAAAATATAATTATGTAAAATATTTGTTACTTTATGTATATGATTATGTTCTATTTTGAAAATGCAGATATAAAAACAAAGAAACAAAACAAACAATTTAACATTTTTAAACGATGCCTTTAAGCAGTAAAAGCGTTTCATGAACATTCAAAGTCAATCAGAGACTAATTTTTAATTGTGGTCTCTAATTTGAATCTGTAATTTTGTTAGTAACCTGTTTATCATTTCGGTACAGTTACTGAATCATAATTACCTTTTAGATATGGAGACAAAGTTCGTCAGCATCCCCTTGACAGTCTCCGTCATCTCACTCAGTAGGAGACCCTTGAATATCCAATATGAATCCCTGAAAATGAGTGTGGGCGTGAATGTGCGTTATCATGTGTGTGTGTGTGTGTGTGTGTACGTGGGAGAGGGAAAGAGGGGTAAGAAAGAGAGAGAGAGAGAGAGATACGGCAGAAGGGGAACGGTGGATGTTTTCCTGGTTACCCTTACTTATTTTTCATGTGCGTTATCATGTGTGTGTGCGTGGAAGAGAGAGAGAGAGAGGGGGGGGTAAGAAAGAGAGGGAGAGAGAGAGAGAGAGAGAGAGATACGGCAGAAGAGGAAAGGTGGATGTTTTTCTGGTCATCGTTACTTATTTTTTTCATGTGCGTTACCATGTGTGTGTGCGTGGGTGAGGGAGAAAGGAGTTAAGAAAGAGAGAGAGAGAGAGATACGGCAGAAGAGGAAAGGTGGATGTTTTCCTGGTTAACCTTACTTATTTTTCATGTGCGTTATCATGTGTGTGTGCGTGGAAGAGAGAGAGGGGGTAAGAAAGAGAGGGAGAGAGAGAGAGAGAGATACGGCAGAAGAGGAAAGGTGGATGTCTTTCTGGTCATCGTTACTTATTTTTCATGTGCGTTATCATGTGTGTGTGTGTGCGTGGGAAAGGGAGAGAGTGGATGTGTTTGGGGTTATCGTTACTTATTTTTCATGTGCGTTATCATGTGTGTGTGCGTGGGGAGGGAGAGAGGGGGAGAAAGAGAGAGAGAGAAAGATACGACAGAAGAGGAAAGGTGGATATTTTTCTGGTTACCGTTACTTATTTTTCATGTGCGTTATCATGTGTGTGTGTGCGTGGGGGAGGGAGAGAGTGGATGTGTTTGGGGTTATCGTTACTTATTTTTCATGTGCGTTATCATGTGTGTGTGCGTGGGAGAGGGAGAGAGGGGGCGAAAGAGAGACAGAGAGAGAGATACGGGAGACGAGGAAAGGTGGATGTTTTTGGGGTTATCGTTACTTATTTTTTCATGTGCGTTATCATGTGTGTGTGCGTGAGAGAGGGAGAGAGGGTGTAACATACAAACATTTATTTTTATCTTGTGGGAGCGTTCAAAGGTTATGGCAGGCTTTAATACAACTTTTTGAGTTAGATGAAATTAAAGATTTAGAATGGCGAGATATATTTGTTGGGTTGGTAGGTAGTTCATATAGAATAAAAATGTGTAATACTATCATTTTCATGGTGAAGTATGTTACATTTATGTCAAGATCGGGGGGGCGAGTACTAACTTTAGAAAAGATGAAAAAAAAGCATTTTTAAGTATAGGGATGAGGAAAAGAAAATAGCAATTAAAATGGGAAAGCTAGGATCACATTTTTTAAAGTGGGAGCAGCTTAAGATTAATTAAGATTTGCTTTCTTCTCCACCGTGAGCTTGTTAAAAGCGTAACTCGATTTTGCGGCCTGGATAACTTATTTAGTATATTTTTCTTAAGTTGAGAATGTTGGCAGACATCCACTGAGTGAGTACTGTGTGTGTGTGTGTGGGGGGGGGGTGGGTGGGTGAGTATGTGTGTGAGTGGGTGAGTATGTTTGTGTGATAGAGGGTGAGTATGTCTGTGTGATGTAGGGGGCAGGGAGGGGGCAGGATTGTTTCAGTAAAATTATCTCCAGATTTTTTTTTTTTTGTAATATATAAGTAAATAACATTTACAATTGACATATTATGTTTAGGTACTTATACGTTTACTTTGTTGTTAAGTTATATTATACTGCAAATAAGTTTGTGTTTAATTATGTTTATGTAAAAGCATCAATATTGAACACGTTTATTTTATTCAATTGTATGTCATGGTTTGTATTACACATCTGGAGAAATAAAACAAAATTGTTAAAAAAAAAAAAAAAAGTAAGAAAGAGAGAGAGAGAGAGAGAGAGATACGGCAGAAGAGGAACGGTGGATATTTTCTGGTTATAGTTACCTATTTTTCATGTGCGTTATCATGTGTGTGTGCGTGGGAGAGGGAGAGAGGGGGCGAAAGAGAGACAGAGAGAGAGATACGGGAGACGAGGAAAGGTGGATGTTTTTGGGGTTATCGTTACTTATTTTTTCATGTGCGTTATCATGTGTGTGTGCGTGAGAGAGGGAGAGAGGGTGTAAGAAAGAGAGAGAGAGAGAGAGAGATACGGCAGAAGAGGAACGGTGGATATTTTTCTGGTTATCGTTACTTATTTTTCATGTGCGTTATCATGTGTGTGTGCGTGGAAGAGGGAGAGAGGGGGTTAGAAAGAGAGATAGAGAGAGAGAGAGAGAGAGAGAGATACGGCAGAAGAGGAAAGGTGGATGTTGCAAAAGGAAGGAGACAAACCAATCGCACATTCACATAATAAAATAGTCACTTACTACCTCCTTGTTACGTAGCTAGAATAAAACTAGAAATACACAACACAAAGAGGAATTTCATAGAGACCTCGAGAGTTGCTTATACCAATTTCGAACTGATAATAGATAATCGTTTTTTCTGGTTATCGTTACTTTTATTTGTCATTGACATTCGAAGTAAAATGCCTTATTATAAAAATATCTTTGGGAAGGATTTCCAAATATGATAATACATGTAATAAAAATGATATATATCGCATTTATAATATTCAATGACATTTGCAATTATTTTCACATACTCATAAGGTCAATACATCATATCAACAGGGTGAAGTGTTTACACAAATTACTTTAGATAAAGAAAACCAAAGCGTGTTATACCAATAGTAGAACTCTCTAAAACGGCCTCCCGGTACGATGAAGGGATTCTCGACGTGAATCAATGAATAACGATCTGCATTCGTGAGGACGTCTTGTTTGATCTAAAATAACAATGAACAATTCAGTCAATACAGATACGTGACATTTGGAAATTGCATGCAAAACAAATACAATCATATCAATACGAATTTGTTTTAGGAGATTTCTTCGAGATGTTTCAAGATGAATATTGACTTTATATACAAGACCCTTTTAAATATAGCCTGCTCCCGACCACTGGCATATTTTAAAGGAGGATCGGATGTCGATCAAAATATTCATGCCGACAAAGTTTTGCAGACATTTTGTCGACAGGTAATTTATATCATTTTTATTTATATATTCGGTTTAAAAACAGCAACATGTAAGGTTCAGGAACTCATAATAGTTGATTTACGATGAAATTGAATAGTGTTAACAAAATTGAACCAAAATATATACAATTTAGAAAAACATGTTGTTTTACCCATATGGAAATATGGTTACAGTACAATACAAGATAAAGAGAAAAACAAAATGAAATACGTGGATAAAAAGGAAAAGCCTAGCAACCCTTTTGATTGCTGAAAATGCTGTAAAAAATGTGACTTTAATCACATTAATCTAAGTGGGAGCTTAATGTCACCCCTCCCCCCCCCCCCTTGCGACACCCCTGATGATTAATCATTGATGATCCATAATTTATTTCGGGAAAGGTGTCGGTTTAGGGTAAGATTTGCGATGGGATTTAGGTTAGGCTTAAGATCAGGGTTAGGTGGCGTGTTGGGTCTGTGGTTGTAGTTGAGAATTCGGTTAAATATTAACGATAATATCAGTAACAACAATAATAATAGTTATTAAAATATTAATAGTAATACAAATATTTAAAGTAATAATAATCATATTGATGCTGATAATAACTTTCATTTATATAGCGCTTACTTTACTTTTTTCTATAAAGTAATTTATATGATTTTCGTACTAGTACACAAATTAGAATAAGTGAACTTACATGAATTACATGGTAATATGACTATACATTTCGAAATAAAAATGTAAGACAAAAATATATGGTAAAATTGTACGTAGAAAAAAACTACCTATTACAAACTCTATAATTACAGGAGAACGGTGTTGGGTTGAGACAGGGTGCAATAGACCGGGTTACTAACATATTCATGTTTATGGATCTTTCTTTCCTGGGTACCTAGAGACGAATTATCCCATTAAAGGTACTATGTCCCATTTGCAGGCCAAAAATATGAAAAGCTTAAATTCCAACGGCATTTGAAAGACAATACTAATTTAGAACTTCCCTCAAAACGAAAGGGCTTGAAAATGGCTTTCTTGGGGGAGGGGGGGGGGGGGGTAAAAACCATTAGTTGTCGAATCGACTTAAGTGATTGCAATCACTTAATTAATAGTCTTGATTTTCAGACCCTTTTACCGAATGGTCGTACGTTTTGTGCTGCACAAAGATTCAATCAGTTTAATCTTGGCCATCACAAGTAGTGGGTCATTGATGTGGACATATGCTCGTGTACCTGTTACAGCTCATATTATGTATCTTATTACCAAAGAAAAAAGACATGTCAGTCAGTCACTCAATGGTGTCTGACAGAAAAGTCTAGAAGGTAAATAGGTTTCCTTGCATAATGTGAAAACTAGGACACTGCTACTGTTTAAATTTCGCAGATAGGACATACATGACATATTCATAATTCCTGCAAAGTTCTACAGAATTTGATGTTGGCTGCAAAAAGGACATAATATGTTTAACCTGCAATTAATGACTGAACATTACTTGTCGCTGTGTCAGGCAAGCCTTGGACAAGCTTTTAGGTCGTCAAGACCAACCTTTGATTAAAAAGTATGCATAAAATATGAATATGTTTAAATTAAACCGGTCTAATGTCACATCAGAATGTATTGTACAAACTAAACATTACATTGCGCTCTGCAGATAAATGATTTTCTCAGTTTTGTTTTCTGGTTTCTTACCTGTCTTCCCAGTTCTTTCCACAGTTCATTCAAATCTCTCGCCCATTCCTTCAGTTCGTCATCCTTTATACCATCAATGAAACCTGGACTGTAAGCAATGAGGTATATTTACAGAATAATGCATACAATCAGGGGGGGGGGGGGGTTCACAAAGATCATAAGTTGAACTTATCTCTAAGTTTGACTTAACAATTATGGAAAGCCATTACCATCTATGAAAATATTTAGTAAAAAGTTATTCTAAAAGGCATGAAATGTTGATTCAAATCATTAATATTTTCTATTATCAAGGAGATTTCATATTCTCGATGTGGAATTTATAAAAAGTCTAAAATACTTGAATTATCGCTTTTGAATATATTTTATTTTAAGGCTACAAATGGCTTTTCATAATGTATAAGTCCAACTTAGAGTTAATTTCGACTTAGGATCTTTGTGAAACACCCCCAGTAGGGTAGAAATAAGTTACATATGAATTTGTATATCACCTGTGACTTTACATATGAATTGCACTATTTATACACATATACGTAAACACACACCCACACACCCTTTCACACTCCTCCTACTTCAACTACTACTTCTACTACTACTACTACTTCTACTACTTATACTACTACTACTACTGCTGCTACTACTACTTCTACTACTACTACTACTACTACTACTACTTATACTACTACTACTACTGCTGCTACTACTACTTCTACTACTACTACTACTACTACTACTACGACTACAACTAACTACTAATACTACCACTACCACTACTACTACTAATACTACAACCACCACCACCAACAACAACAACAACAGCAACAACTCTACCTCTAACTCGACTATCATAGTTATTTTAAATCGTGTTTCAGTTTGATTACGTATAATGTACTATTCTATTATTTTGTTTGACTTTCATTCATAGTAAAGATGTTATCAGTGTATTTTTTAACATTTAATTATCATGTATTATTACTATTATTATTGTTATCATTATTATTTTTATTTTTTGACAGGGAAATTGTGGGAAGAAGGAGTAGGGGAAGAAGAAGGATAATTTGGATGGACAGTCTGCAGAAATTGTTGGAAGAGAGAGGAGTAGAAGAACTGGGAGTGGTACTAATACAGAAGGCTAGGAGCCGAGGGTTATAGAACAGAATGATCGCCAAAGTCAAACGATATGGCACTTAGAGAGAGAGATCATCATTATTCTGACCATTATTTTCATCCTCATTATCATGATCAACAACAAAATGATTATCATCATCAGAAATATCATAATTGCATTTACTTTTCTTTCCAATCTGACGGCTCCCAATCCTCGAACTCAATGTTAGGTCCGTCAAAATACTCCGCCACAAATTCTCTCATAACATTCGCATCCGTCCGATCAACAAGTTCACCGAAAGCTTGCAAGATAACGTCTAAAAAGACAAAAAGGAAATAATGATCCAATTGGCAATGGAAGTTGCAAGGTTGTCGCGAAGCTTATTCTGTCTATAAAGTAAGGATTGTAGATGGTTACAGATAACGAAAAGAAAACCAAAACAAATCTTTTAGTAATGCCAAAATGTAAAACATTGCCTCCCTGAATAAATGAATAAATGATAGAATGAATGAAAAATTAAAGAATGAATGAATAAATAGATAGTATATAAATAAAGAATTAAATAATTAAATTTGTGTTTACAAAACGATTTATTAATACAAAACAAAGCAAAGCATAGGTCGTAGTAAATTTCAAGTGTAATGCAATACAGACTAAGCATTCTCTCTATAAAAAAGGTGATATTCTGTTTATGGATACTCGAGTACGTGGTCTTAATTTGGTACCCTTAACGTGGAACAGAAATTTGGCAGCGATTTGGCCCTGATATTAATCTAGTATTAATCTTGTATCTGATGTCTGATATAAATGAGGTTCATTTGAAATCATAAAATTATTGTGGAAATTATAAAGCATTATCATAGGGTAATACAAGAGAAGTTCATCATTCCCCGCTTACCAGGTCAGAGAAATAAATAAAGTTATACAAAAAAGAGTGACTAAAAGTTATCAGATTGAATCGGTGAAGATGGATAATACTTTGAACTGGCAACTGCATGGGGCTCGTTTCATAAAACTTGTTATCTATAACAAATGCTAAATTTCTATGACAAATTTGCTCTCAGCCAATCAGATACCATGACTTCAGTAGCTTATAACAGTAGCTTGATACTTGTTATTGATATCAGGTTTTATGAAACAGGGCTCTGGTATTGATCTAGTTATCCTTTTCTGGACGATTTGAAAGTAATAATTGTTAATGTACTGGAGGTTTGTATAAATGTTCCCATATACAATCAACAAAAGAGGATATCGGGTCTAAAGAGTCACGATTGTATACCGGTGCATACACTGTCGCTCATAAAGGTGGAATATTTTAGTTTTACGCCAATTTATGGAATTATTTTAAAAATAATTTAAAAATAATAGATCTAGATAATAGTATACATTCTCAGATTTTATTGAATAATAATTTGCCAATGTGTGTTTTGCGTGACTGCTAAAGCATGTGTATGCTACTATGCTTATCAACTAGGGGACCTATGCCCTGAAGTCATAAATGACAGTAATGAGGATTAATGCCCCACAAAAGGGCACTAATATAGCACATCGACACGGTTTTGATCCTGGAGCCTCACAGTTACGAGGCCATTGCTTTGTCACTGAACCATGACTGTACGCAGCGGGGGCTAGGGTATGGGGCAGTTTCCATAAATTAAAAAAAAAACAGAAAATGCAATAAATTTTCAACAATTTATTGCATTTAACCCCGGTGCCTAACATAAAAAAAAAATTCTGTGTGCCCATGCCTTGAGCCAAAATGCATGGCCGTCCAGAGGATTTTTTTATGTTGGGGACCGGGGTAAAATGCAATAAATTATTGAAAATGTATTGCATTTTCTGGGTTTTTTTTTAATTTATGGAAACTGCCCCCTACCCTAGCCCCGCTGCGTACAGTCATGGTTCAGTGACAAAACAATGACCTCGTAACTGTGAGGACCCAGGATCAAAACCGTGTCGATGTGCTATATTAGTGCCCTTTTGTGGGGCATTAATCCTCATTACTGTCATGTATGACTTGAGAGCGTAGGTCCCCTAGTTAATAAGCATAGTAGCATACACATGCTTTAGCAGTTTCGCAAAACACACATTGGCAAGTTATTATTCAATAAAATCTGAGAATGTATACTATTATCTATATCTATTATTTTTAAATAATTTTTAAAATAATTCCATAAATTGGGGTAAAACTAAAATATTCCACCTTTATGAGCGACAGTGTATATTAGTAAGCCTACCAAATCTGGATCCGTCATTTCCCTTACCTCAATTTAAAGAAAGATATGTTGTAATCGACTTTGAAACTCTAACAAATTGTAAAAATGGCTTGCTTCAAATCATCGGGTCATCGCGTCGGGTCGGGTGGTCGCGTTACCCTACATTTTGCGAAAACATGCCCCTTTATTCATGAAATGTCGGGGTAGTGTTTGTGAAATAAACCCCTCTTATCTACAAAGGGTCTGTTTCAATTTACCGGACACTTAGTGAAAACCGTGGTGAATCTACCAAAGGTCGTGTCATCGCGACCACCCGACCGGTCGGGATGACCCGATGGTTCGACTTAAGCCGCAATAAATAATTGCTTAGAAATGTTGTTGAACTTCATACCCTCAGATTGCTTTAGATGTAAATCCACGAAGGTCTTGGAGTCATTGTAGATCATCGCATTTTGAGCAGCTTTCAAAAGTAGGCCATTGCAGAAGATTGAACTATTAATGTACAGAAAGGTTTAAAATTAAAGAAGAATAATATTAAGAATTCTGGATGTATATTTCAAATATGTATTGGTCTAAAAGGAAATTATTTGGCGTTTACATGCATTATTTTTCACAAAGAAAAATAAATATACTGTACATGTGTCTTGATACATATAACATAACACGAGTATATAGAGAGAATATACGGAATACCGTGTCTAAGGGCTTTACAAATTTTATTATTATCCCGGTCATTTGATTCATTCATGTACACAGTGTGCACCATTTCCACTCCCTGGGGAGTATTCCGACCATTGTGCATGGTCATCGTGAGGGTATATGGCAATTTCTACCACTAGGTCCCCATTTCTTTCATGCGCATGGAGTGGCAAAAAAGGTAGATAAATACGGAAAGGAAGAAAATATTTGATATTTTCTTTGATCAAATCTTGAAACACTGTCATACAGGTGATTTATTATGTCACAATAACTATTTCTCTGTTATTGCATACGCTTTGCCATTTCTTAATGTCAAAATGCATGCTTATTTAGTACCGTATGCCACTAAAAAGTTGAACGAGTTTGATGATGAATGTAGATTAAGATGCGGGTTTAATGGAACAAAGAATATCGAATTTTAAACAAGCTTCGACTTATTTTACCACTTCATCACACCGACGTATATCTTTTCTTACCTCTTTTCATGAAATTATTGTGACAATATGACTCGAACTGCGTATCATGTTATACACAGTCCGATGAGGGACAACCCGGGGGGGGGGGGGCGTTTCAAAAAAACTTGTCATCAGTGACAAATTACAGTCTTTGTTATAAGCTACAGAAATCCTAGCTTCTGATTGGTTATCAGCAGATTTGCCACTCATTTTTGTCATTTGACATTAAAAACAGGCTTTGTGAAACGGGCCTCAGAAGACCATCCACGATACCTATACGTATTATTAGTCTCCGAACTACAACCATGTATCTTTTTAAAAATATATATTTACAGTTGACTAATTTATTCATACCATTATACCAGTATTTGAAAAATTGATTTGTCCCCTTTTAGGTTTCTTGAGAATTTGACATATAAGAGCTTACATCTAAAAGTATTTAACAAAGACCACAATTCAACCAGTCCACCTTTCACCATGAGTTACAAAACAAAACACACAAAAGTTTATAAGGGGTATGATTAATTTTGATGTTAACTGTATATAAAAAGAAACCCGAATGAATTAAATTGAATTGGGGAGAAAATAAAATGTTGCCTACCCATCAGTGCCATTGATTAGGAGAGTTTGTTTGTTTGGCCAACGTGGTTTCACTGGGTCACAAAATGGTGTATATTCTTGTGTTTTGTGCTTGCCCACCAAAGCAGTATAGTCGCCATATTGTGACCAACTCGAACCGTGTTGGCCAAACTCTGTGTATAGATGGCTATGTGCCTAAGCAGTATAGTCGCCATATTGTGACCAACTCGAACCGTGTTGGCCAAACTCTGTGTATAGATGGCTATGTGCCTACCTAGCGCATGGCGCCTCATCCTTCAGATCGGCCGCAGACCACGTGACTGCATACGTCATCACCAATGCGCTCAGGAGAAAGCTTGTTCCCGCCATTCCAACCATCCACTGTTGTGTGTCTGTTTGTGTCGGTGAGCTGAAAAATGGAAAGAACAAGAACGAATATCAGATAAAATAATGCAGTTATGCATGGTTTATAAACCTAAATAGTTCCCAGTTCACTCTATTTTCACTTTCTTGGGAGTGACGTCCGTGATCACTTGTTTAGGAGTGAATATCGATTGATTTTAGAGTGCTCTCTAAGAAGAAAAAAGTGAATGTTCACTACATTTTCACTACATTTTCACTCCCCAGAGGAGTGACGTCCGTGATCACTCGATTTTGTTTAGAGAGTAAGAATACACCGTTAATAATCTTTTAAAGTCCACTACAAATTGTATTAAGTTAAACCGAAAATGGAAATTCTTTTTTCCCAATTGATCGTGAGCCCGGCAGCCACTGAGCAGCGCCAGATCGACGTTGCTCTATCCCTTATTGTTGAACGCCAAACAAGGTAGCAGCAACTCCCGTCTTTTAACGTCCTTTGGTATGACGGGGCCGGGGTTCGACCCCACGACCTCCTGGTTGTGAGGAGGACGCTCTACTGACTGAGCCAACACATTGGTTCCATAAAACTTAATGCATTACTTTTCTTTCATGATTGTATAAATACATGTAAAGTTTTTAAAGAGTGGACAAAAGAGAGAGAGAGGAGGTGGAGAGAATGGGAGTGCGAGAGAGAGAGAGAAAGAACGATGTCGTAAAGAGTCAGAGAGGGTGACGAGAAACAGAAAGGAAAAGAAAAAGAGAGTACAAAAGGCTGAATAAAACAAAAACGAAACTAAAAAAAGGTAGAAAGGGGAGAAAGTTTGGAATTGAGGCGAAATTATTATTTTTTATTTTTTTTAACAAATACAAATTTTTTTTTTTTGGAGGGGTAGATAAAGAGATCTATTCTTAATGACCTCCCTGATAAATCTCTGAGTTAAAGACAGGCGATATGTCACATACTTGAGAAATATAATTCTGTAACTTCGAAATGATTTTGTCCTGACGAATCACTTGCGACTAAATGCCCTTGACTTGTGTCTGAACACGACCATTGCAAAATATGTCCTTCATATTTTCGTGGTATAAGGACAAATAACGTAGAATGACGCAACAAATATTTGTTGACATAATGTTGACACGATTTTGTATCGGCATGATAACCAACCAATATATTTAGCGGGTTAGCGTTTCTAAATAGTGACCACACAAAATATAAATTACGAAGTAGCATCGGGACACGTTCCGCCACATATCAAATAATGCATAGTTAATATTTGACACACAGGTTAGCAAATAAATCATATAATTGCGACCAATATTCATTTTAATCTGTGTTCATATGGGGGATGCGAGAAAACAGAGAAAGAGAAATGGAAGGGGCGAGAAAAGAAGGCCACCAGGACTACCCCCTCAGATCAGATCATTAGCCGTATAAATTCACATTTCATTTCCGAGTGAAACAAGTGCCCCCCCCCCCCCTTCCATTACTTACTTCCGCTACAAACAGTTAGTTAGACCAATATGCTTTACCAGAGGTTTTAAGAGAGAGGGCATGGTGCCAATCAGAGAAGGTGTTGTTAAAGAGCTTGATTGTATCGTATCACCTGCCTCGGTATATCAAAGACTTTGGCCCGAATTCACGAAGGAGGTTTATGTACGTCATATGACCCGTTTTTACGCGATTTTTCACAAACCTGGTTTGTAAAAACGCGTCGAAACGCGTCATATGACGCACGAAAACCAGGGTTTGTCGACAAACCTCCTTTGTGAATTCGGGCCAATGAATCACAGGAGAAACTCAAGTAAACCGACAGCCTATGAGACCAACACTTGGCCTATCCTCTATCCGCCTTGTAAAACTTGATGATGATGGTGATGATGATGATGATGATGGTGATGATGATGATAAAAATAATAATGATAATAAAAGTTACAATATTAAGAAGAAGAAGAAGAAGAAGATGATGAGGAAAAAAAGAAGAAAAGTGTTATTATCAACAAAAAAAGTTTTTAAAACAATAATCATGATAATCACGAGGACGATTATAACATAATAAGATAAACCTTCATAATAAAAGTAACTTACAATTACTTTAATCAATTCAGTTCAGTCGATCGGTTCATTTTATATTTCGCATTTCACGTTTTACACTGTAATGTGGTGTTTATTTTACCTGACAGCTAAGAAAGCAATATAAATGCTTGTTAGTGAGCAACCAGAAGACCGACGGCTTTAGGTCCTCTCCGAGGGACCTGGAAATGGGGATGAATGCCTTACCAAAGGGCATTAGCGCATCGACATGGTTTCGAACCCGGGTCACCGGATAACGAGACCACTGCTCTACCGACTGAGCTATCGCGCCTCCTCCTGTCGGTAATTTTTTACAGGAAATATAAAAATAATAACAATAATGATAATAATAATAATTTAAAAAAAGAAGAAGAGGTAAATCGAATGAACAATAATACATCAAACGTATTAAGTCGCTTCAGTTTTTTTGTAGTTGCTTATAAATTAAAGATTAAGTTAAACTGGAAATAAAGGTATGTCGGAGCAGAGATAAAAAGCAAAGTGTGGTGGTTGAAGGCTCCAGAATAAGATATAACGATAGCTAGATAGATAGAGATAGATATATAGATAGATAGATAAATGGTATTTTATTGCGCCTTTCATGAATGGCAGTTTCACAACTGAATTAGACATGAATAACATAATTTGGTCTCATGCATCATTGGTCTCTCAACTATGATCATTAGATAATGTATTTTCCTTTAATAATAAACTATAAAAAAAAATGTAAATTATGTAGATTTGTGACCATGATTTGTACGTCCCTTGAAAAATTAAACCAATGCCCGGAATGGTTAGAGGAACTATTGGCATGAACGGCCTTTCATAGTTAAGTCTAACTTATAGTCGATCTTAGTCTTTGTGAAACACTCCCCAGATCTGAACTGAAGAAAAAAAAAGAAATCCTTCAACAGTGAAAAAACTGAAAATGTATTCTCAACTTTGATTTCGCTCTTTAAAAAGCGGAACCTGTCTTTTGCTGTGGTGCAATAGAAACTAAAACAACGTTGTTCAATTACCAACATTTTGTTCTGCATATATACTACTAGGAGCATGGACTGTTAAGACATGGTTCTGATAGAGGCGTGTCTCGCTTGTATATTTGGCAAAACAGTACAAAGTTCATTCATTTTATGGCACATTGCCCTCTGTTTGTTTTAACGAAGAACAACAACCATCCGTAGTGTAATCAGTGAGACACGAAGAAACACATGTCTCAATCATATATCATATCTATAAAAGGCTTCCAAGTGGTTCAATAAATCAGTGTAAATATTATATTTAGCGAAGTACCCGGATGACTGACCAATATTGTTTTTGTATTGCTCACCGGGATTGCTCAGTCATACGGGAACTTCAACTATCCGATATCACACAAAAACAAAGCTATAATTTACCGAGGTAAGTCAGAGAATCAAAGTGGAGATGGGCTAGGTATGTAGCAAGACTTCAGGACAAAAGATGGACAAATCGTTTAACAGAATGGCAACCAAGGATGGGGAAAGAGAAGAAGAGGAAGGCAGAAGAGAAGATGGAGAGATGACCTATAACATCATACCGCTTGGACTAGGACAGCTAGAGACGGAAGAGAATGGAAATGTTATGAGGAGGGCTTTGTCCAACGTCTGGAAGAACTGTATCCTGATCGATAGATAGATAGATAGATAGATATAGAAGTCAGATTTGGTTATTTCGGTAGTCAGATTTATATATATATATTTATATATATAATAATACAAATAATATCGTATGGCTTTGTTTTCATGTGATACAAGAATGTATTGCTCTCGCTAAGACAATATCACACTCGTCTGTGACTCGTCCAATATTGTCATAGCTCGCGCAATATATTCTTGTATCACACTCAAGGCCATCCAATATTATATAAATATAACATGATGTGAAATGAATAAGTTATTTTACTCACCCGCCTGCTAATCTTCCTAGAATCGGTATATCTGCATCAAAAGAAGGACACAAGGGTAAGTGATGATGACCTCCTTAGCGTAACACCAGAAGCTGGAAAAGACGGACGTTTGAAGACCTCCCCCTCGCGGAACTGGTATCAAATATTGACAGACCATGGTACAAGATAATTCCTTTGTTGAGAGGATGCTCAGAGCTGACGTTTGTGAATTTACGGTAATAAAACACAACAAAGTATAATTGACTTTATTATGGACGCCGATTTCAAGTTTAGAATAACACTGACGCGGTGACGCCGTATATAACAATGGGATTATTTGAACTTGTATTGAACTTCGCTCTTTAAGTATTCTTCTCTGACTCTCTCAAGCACGTAGCCAGGATTTCATTTTAGGGGTGCGGTAGTGAGCGCGCATAGCGCGCTCCCTAGGGGGGAGCTAGGGTGCAGGGAGGCTTTGAGGTTTCATCAAATTATAAGAGAAAGAAGACGATTCGTTGGACCGTTCTCGACTCTTAATCCTTATCTAAATTCAGTTTCTGTTGACGTTTCATTAGGGAAAGAAGACGATTCGCTGTACCGTCCTCGACTCTTAATCTTTGTTTGAATAAGTTCCCCTGCCTCCGCGCGTAGTGCGGAAGCTCTGAAGTTTTATTAGATTAATAAAGAAAGAAGAAGATTCGTTGTACCATTTTCGATCGACTCTAGTCTTAATCCTTGTCTGAATTCAGTTCCTCCCCCCCCCCCCTCCCCTCCCGCGGAAGCTTTGACATTTCATAAATTATTAGAGAAAGAAGACGATTTGTTGTACCGTTCTCGACTCTTAATCCTTATCTGAATTCAGTTCCCCCCCCCCCCCCTCTCCTCCCGAAGCTTAGACATTTCATTAAATTATTAGAGAAATTAGAAGACGATTCGTTGTACCGTTCTCGAGTCTTAATCCCTTTTCTTCCTACGTCCTCTTCCTTTCTTCTTTTGTTCTCTCTTTTTTTTTTCGGGGGGGGGGGGGGTCGGCGTTTTATTTTGGGGGGCGACCGCCCCCACCCCCCCCCCCCCCCCCCCCCTCCTGGCTACGCGCCTGACTGTCTTTCTGACTCCTCACGTTTCTACGATTGATTTATAAAGACGCTCTCTCTCTCATATTATCTCTCTCTTTCTCTCTTTTACGTCTTTTCTGTCTAGCCTGATATTCAGCTGGTTTTACTAAACGAACACATTGGGAGCAACAGAATAGTGTACTTCAGCAAAATTCAGTGAAAACATGAGAAAACTATGAATGTTCAAAGTTGTAATTAATCAAACACAAATTACAAACGCTGTGACGTATCTTGTGATGACCTTTCCTTGCTCGTAACCCCCTTCCCCCTCCCCGGCCCCCATCACAAATTTTCATTTTCATATTGGCTGATGAAGGAATATATTTGTTAATGAAGCGGTCGTATAAAAACAGGGGGCATGTATCATTGAATATCATTTTCAGAGCAAAAAAGGTAATTAAAAAAAAATGAGACAGAGCAAAAGGGAGAGGGCCTAATTGCAAGAAACGTCACAGCGTTGCCATTTTGTTATCGATGAATCAAAACATCGAAAATTCTTAACTTTTATACTTTTTGTTCAAAATTTGTTGATCTGTTCATCTGATTTTTCAGCTTCAGTTGACACAAGGACACCAACATTATATCACAGTGGAATTCCCCTTTATACAGTTTAAGCTTTTGAAAAGTACTTTGCAGATGTCTTACTGTTGTAATGAGTTCCTTAAACTATGGATCTACATGAACATACATGTAGAGGTGTCGTGGACGTATGTGAATCACAAGGTCCGCGGTTCAAGTCCCATCGCGGCACTATAATGTCATTTGGCATGACATTTGCCACTCTCCACCTAAGTGTTAAATGGGTACCTGGTAGGATGCAAAAGTTAATATGCTTAGATTAGCAAGTGTGCGCTTGTAAAAATGACGCCCAGGGAGTGAAGAATGTGCATACATTGTGTGCGGGTGTGCGGGTGAGCCTGAATCCGATTTAATAATATATATGTGTATATATATGTATATATATATATATATATATATGGGAGAGCCTTCGGTCCTGAAAAGCGCTATATAAGAACTAGCTATTATTATGTTTTGGAAATTAAAGGCGATAGAATGAGTTGGCAAATTACCTCACCTGGGAAGAGCTTAGCAAATGTAGTTAAAACGTTTCGCCAACAGACAATAATAATGCAGACATTTATAATGTGGAACATATCCTCTGAGATGGTGTTCAAGGCGTTTACAATAAACAGAGTAAATGTAGTTAAAGGGATATTCTGAAATTGCTCAAAAAATAAAACGGACCCAAAAAAATGTAGACCAAAACATTAGTCATTAGATGTGTTTATAGTTTTATCTTAAATCCCCACTGCACTACTTATAGTAACTTGCACCCTCTATATAGCAAACAATGTCTAGTCGGTGACCGTTGGTCCCCAGTGATCCCCTTTTTCTAATGTTAATCGAGAGCTGATTTGATGAGATAATCACCTGTCAGTGACCATGTAGGGACGTCTAATCGAAGAAAATTGATGCTGCAACAGGGATTCGAACCCAGGACCTTGTGCTAAACACCCCAGAGACTTATGCACGAGGAGGGGTTGGCAACCACTTTTCCCGCTACACACTACATGTTAAAGCTAGAATATTTGGATGAATATCACTTCATAGTTGATAAAGAAACAGAAAATTGGGAAGGGATTAAGGATAGAGAAACGAGGGAACAGGAATGGGAGAGAAAGGGATGCTGAAAGGGGGACAGGGAGGAAGGGAAAATGGGGGGGGGGGGGGTTACGGAAAAGAAGAGGAAACCTAAAGTACGTGCAGGGGGAAAGGGCGAGTAGGGAAAATTTAGGGTGGGATCAACAGATTCTTTACATGAAATCTTGTGAAATATAGAAACAAAAACACGAATAAAACAACACCAATGAAAAGTGTGGCAATGCAGTAGCAAACAAGTCTGAGCCAGGCTCAACGATTTATTGATATAACACTTTGGTCAGTTCTTTAAAAGGAATATACATGAAATATCATTTTACAATACAATACTTCTTGACAATATCCTGATTATTAAAAAAAAAAGAGACCCGGCTTCAACTAAAGTCTGTTCATGATTCTAAAAGAAAATAATGGACAGCATAGATGCTTTTATTCTTTCCCATTTTACATACTTTTTTTTTATCTTAACATGAATATTGCACTTTCCCACAATTCTGCATCAAAACCGTTTAATTGTTTATCCAGATTTGCTCCATTTCATTTATTTTATCCATACATTTCTCTTTGCACTGGTTAAACATATAGACCAGTTCTGGTCATGCGCTTTCATTGTGAAAGAAACGTTGTGGAATCGATCAGAAAAGGTTGATCATCTAGCATATAAAAGTATTGGTGTGTACTGCAAGGTTCTGGAATCATCAAAACGATAAGAAATTCGGCCCATTCTTGGTAAAATGACAAGCACTGTACACAGAAAGATGGATATGGGACTATGCGACATGTGCACGATATCTATCCGGTCCGGATAGAGAGGAAAATTTACCAAATATATCAACTAGTAGGTGAAATCATCACTTATTAGTCAAAACATATTCTTTCCATGATAGGTAATAAGAGCTTCCATTTTTTTTTTGAAAGGGGTGGGGAGGGGGGGTATTCCAAAACTGGTCTATACCTTTAAGGCTTGGCCCCGTAAGAAGCGGGTAACCAACAGCAGGCAACAGGGGTCCTGCACATTTTCATTGAGCTCTGTGTTATAAGATACAGAAAGGTTATTATCATTATAATAACAAGAAAAAATCCAGTTTCTGGCGTCATTCCTGATAACATTGTTTGGGGGTAGGGGAAGAGAGATAGACAGTGAGAAAGAGAGAAGTGATGAAGAGAGAAAAAGAGAAATTAGCAGGGAAACAAAAAATAATGATAACAATACAAATCTAGATCTCCATGTAGAATCTCGTACCGTTTTACAAATATTATTACTCCAGTCATTAGATTCGTTTAATCACAATGTGCACCATTGCGACTCCTACTCCTGGTATTCCTACCTTAAGCTCACCATGAGGGCATATGGGAATTACATACACAAAAGCTTTTGTCATCCTACCAGGTCCCCATTTCTGTCCCGGGTATGGAGTGGCAAAAGTAGATTAATGCCTTAATTGCCAAAGGATATTATTGCCATGTCTGCATGGGATCTAACCCACGACGTTTGCATTTCAAAAGGAGTGCTCAAACTATGACACTTCTACATATTATAGAGAAGGAGAGGGGAGGAAAGGGGGTAGGGGTGGGAGGGGGAAGGGGTCGGAATATACAGCGTCTTAACATTTCAGCATTAAATCAAAACAATTGAATATTGCGATATAGCAACAAAAGATGTGCCTATATAACATTTTATCATCTGTACAATCATGCATCAGTTACACAAAAATAACACATTATAGACATCTGTCTTAACTACATAAGAAATATATATATACACATGTATCTGAACAAAAATTGATAACATACAAATTGATTCTCTTTGTAGTCTGGAGGTGAACTCAAGTTCTTGCAATGACTAAGACGGCTTACAAAGAATCCAACCTAATTTCCATGCAATGAAATTTAGACCTTTTATACAGATTCATGGGCCAACATCTGTATCAGTTGCTCTTTCAGGAGCGCAGTCGTTAGGCCAGGAACCTGCATGGATTGTCTTGGTGAGTCCCTCTGTAATCCCAGTTGGTTCTTGACGCTGTCTTGGTTGATCTGTAGAGTTTGCAGGATATTCAGTGCTCTGGGGAGGGGGAGGGGGGAGGGGAAGAACATACATGACATATGTGTGTAATGTATAAACAGTGAATCTGAATATGACAAAGTGTCAAAATATTCACTCATGCAAGAGAATTTACAGATTAGAAGAAATCAATAGTCAGGTTAGTAATAGGGGAGGGGGGGGGGGGGGGCAGCCTCGTCACATCAAAGGGGCATAGTACTATGACAAGGGTAATCACGGTGGTGAATGTTCGTCGAAAAATTCCATGATGCCTAGGCTTCCACAGGGGTGATAGTGAGCATTAAAAAAAAATGGCATCTAAATTCTTCAGAATGAGAAAATCAGGGGAAAAAAAAATTAGGAAGAAAAAATTAAAATCGGAAACCAATTTAAATCAGGTAATTATCAGGCCTGCTTCCATTACATTGCCAACACAAAAGCTAAGAGGCACCCTATGTGACTGAAAGGCTGATACAAATTTTAAAAAGACGACCCCAAAGCTTACGAGATTGAAGGTGGGAGACACTCCCACAGTCTCCGGCTGTGTTCTTGAAGGGCGGAAGAGTCCTGTGAAGAAAAAAAATATGTATATTCAAGAAAAATAAACTGGTGCAACAAACAGAGATGCCAGGGTTAGAATTGATCAGAGGGCCTGAAAATCACCTTTTTTGTACAAAAAAAAAGCCTAAACTATGGTCTGAATATAACTTGCCAGGGCCTGAAATCAGGCTATTGCCTGAAAACTGGCATTCCTGAATATTGTCTCAAAATCTGCTTGAATTGTTAACATGGTATATATATTTTGTATTTTGAAGTAGTATTTATGATAGATACTCTTCAACCATCTTCCACCTGTGTGTTTGTAATGAAGAGCATTTCGAGGGGGTCAGTGAAACAAAGACGTAACTCCATTTGGGCCATTTTGAGAAAAGGTGGTTTATATGTCACTGAGCACTTGGGCTTTAAGGAGTTAAGTCTATGTTTCACTAGCCATTGACTTCAATGGGGTGTTGGGTGGAGTTAAGTCTTTGTGTTTCCTGGAAAGCCCACATTTTTCTGAACATTTTGATATCAAATACTCATTTTGGCAAAATACGGAGTTACCGGTACATCTTTGTGTCACTGAACCATTGTTTTCTTCTTAGTTTACACAGAGCTTTTTGCTTTTTTGCCCTTGTGACCCCGACATTTTAAACATGTCTATTATAATCTTTTTACACAATGTATCATGCATTTCATTGTGAATAATACAAAGTATTAGCCCTGCATTGTGAAAAATAAAACATGAACTGGGCTTTTTCTCTTTTCTACTTTTATATACTTTTTTTTTGTATCTATACAATTGTATATACTATAACTTCCTTTTTGTGTAGTTTCTATACAATTATATATAGGATTGTATATACATTGGAATTAAATGTATATACAATCCTATATATAATTGTATAGAAACTACACAAAAAGGAACTTATAGTATATACAATTGTACATATTTGTTATACTATTACTTCCTTTATTAATAATCATGATAATAAAGTGGGATTGAAATAAATATTTACAATCAATTTGTAGGCCAATATTTCTGCCATATCCCAAACCTTATCCCAGCTACACAAATCTGCATATAAAGGTTAGCAATTTATCTTCTAGTATTTGTAGTATCTATAGGCCTGTCCTCATCAGCTCAAGATTGCCAAATAGCCTGCTATTTCTGATTTGGGAAATAATTGTGAAGTTACAAATCGCGTCTTCATCAGCTCGAGACTTGACCTCGAAACTTGAAACTCGAGCTCGAGAAATTCGCTCAAGATATTTTGCTCAGTGTTTGCGCATAGTGCAAGTCTTCCGGTTGGTGAAGACGCACCAGACAAATAGGGGGATATTTTGCAAACTAGTCCAAGATATCTTGAGATGTCATGATTATCTCAACCAAATATCCCGCTAATTGCAACTTTGGGCTGATGGAGACGCAAATTAACTGGATAATTTGCGATTGGGATAGTTCAAATAGCGGGATAGTTCAAATAGCGGGATATTTCATTTGGCAATCTCGAGCTGATGGAAAAAGACCTTCTGTCTAAAAAACTCACCAGCAGCATTGCACAGAGTAAGACATAGAAGAGCTCGCGATGTGATTGGCTGTCCTGAAGGTCGTGACCTTCCACAACACGCATTGCATCTTGCCAGAGAGAATGACTGAGAAGCAGCTGAAGGGCTCTCATTGCTCCATGGCTCTCGTCACTAACATATAGAGAGAAACAGAGAGAGAGAGAGGGAGAGAGATGGGGAGAGAGACAGAGAGAGAGAGAGAGAGAGATGGGGAGAGAGAAAGAGAGAAAGAGAGAGGGAGAAACAGAGAGAGAGAGAGAGGGGGGGAGAGAGAGAGAGAGAGGGAGAGAAAGAGAGAGTGGGACAGAGAGAGAAAGAGAGAGAGGGAGAGAGATGGGGATCGAGAGAGATAAAGAGAGACAAAGAAATCAAGAGAGACAGAGAGACAGAAAAAAGAGAGGTAAAGGGAGATAAGTTAACTCTTCATGCCCTATGGATCAAAACCCTTGGCCTGTATTCAATGATTCAATAATTACGTCTTAAATAGGAGTTCTTTATTCAGTTTTTGGCCAAGATGAAAATACTTGCCAGCTTTAGTATTAAAGCCCCTGTAAAGTGTTGGGAGTCTCAAATATTGTATGGCAAAATTTCAATTAAATTGTAAAAAGATGTGAAAGTGGATGTCTTAGCTAACACTTCTGCAAGGATTTTCCAAATATATACATTTTAAGGACAATATTTGATGAAAACAATTTTGGTTATCTCTTGTACGCAGAAAACCCAGATACTTGTATTCTTTCATCAGTACTCGTCTTCAAACACATTTATTTTAAAAAATCCTTGCAGATGTGGGTGTTAATTGACATCCTCTTACGCATCATTATATAATTTAAGTGAAAGTTTGCCATCAAATTGGTGAGGCTCTGAACACTTTAGAGGGGCTTTAAGTTGAAACTTTTAGCTGAGTTTTTTGCCAGAAGTTTAAATTATATTGGAGGCCTTGATTGGCAGGCATGTGGTTTACTTATGAATGTGATTGTTGCTTTTAAATGAACAATACTGTCAGCAAGTTTTCCTAAGCTTGTTATAGTTAACATGTAGCTTAGAGAAATACAGTGCTGAGTTGAGACTTTTCTGTAATGCCAATTGCATAATAATAGGAAATCATATATATATTGCGTAGGGAAAGAATCCTATTATTCGGAAATGGATTGAATATATACCACTTCTTCCTTAAAGGGATTGGGTAACTTTGTTTCAGTTAATGAAAAAAAATCCTGGACTTAGCTCATGCTGCAATCATAATTATAAAACCTTTAGGTCAGTCAGGAATCCCATGACTTTTACAAGCCGATCGCCTGTCTGACTATCACAATATTTATGATTGGAAATTGAAATATTTGTTTTCCCGGCTAACGGTTTTTATAACACTACACTATTGGGGAAAATACGTATTGTAAAACCGGTCACTCAAAGATTTTTACCAGTAGACGGTAGTGCAATAAAAACCTTTATAGGTAAACGAAAAAATGAAATTTTGATTTCCAATCTTAAATATCTTGATAATCAGAGAGCGATCGGCTTGTAAAAGTCATGGGATTCCTGACTGACCTAAGGTTTATAATTAGAATTGCAGCATGAGAAATAAAATACAGGATTTTGTTTCAGAATCTGAGGCAATTTTATAAAGTCATTTTAAAGTAACTAAAACATTTCTGAGATATAGGCAAACCTGTCTTGAATGAGATGAGCTTGGGCTGTGACTGCCTCCGTGATGTCGGTGGATTGGGTCGGGTTCGGTAGAACTTCTAGGATCATCCCACTCACGGATAACTAAAAAGATGATCACATTGAAAACAAACTATTATGTAACTACAGAAAATGCATGATACACCAAAAAAGACAGGATTATGGTAACGCATGAAGCATACTTTAAAGTGACTCAGTAAAATTGTTGAAGGTTGATGAAAAAAATGCGTAATTTTTGTATGAAATGTAACTTATTATATTCCTTCTACCAAACTAACCCTGTAACATGTGAAAAATCCTGGAAAAATTCTCAAACCACGAAAATATTTATGGTTTTCTTTGAAGGCGTCATTATGCGAATTCTCCCAACCAATTTGTTAATTTTCCCAATCGATTTTTCCATGAAAATAAGACATAAAACAGGCTTTTACAAATCTTTCACCACTTAAATGTCCGGAATGGTATATAGGGCATATTCATTGCCATGACGATTTACAGTCACCTTAAATTTAATTAAATTATCATAATATAGTTACGAGAATTCAGGAATCGATCAGATCAGTTTTTTCCAAATTTGTATTATTAATAATGGTCTGTTTTCACTCAAACTTTTAGATTATCTTTAATCGTACATCTGCATTGAAGTCACTCCCTTAACACCTTTTACTCTCATCTGAACAATGTTTCCAAGTCCCTTTAAGGTATCAAGGATGAAACTTCTTCCAATCTAAGTGCTTGCTTCATTGTTCAATCTATCAAACACATTTTTCCTTGACATAAATAAGTTGGAATTCATAAACCCACTTGGAATGATAAAATGAATTTCAAACCTCTCTACATCACGACACAGGTCACGATTCCTAAATTCATGCAGCTTTTCGTCCAGATTTGAATGTAAACTTGGCATTGATGAGTTATTGCCTTACCAAAGGGCACTAGTGCATGGGCTTGATTTTGAAGTTTGAACCTGGGATCTACGTGTTACGAGACGATTGCTCTACCACTGAGCTATCGCGCCTCCTGCGATAACTAAAAGGCATCGTTTAACAATGTTAAATTTGAGATTGCACTTCAAAATGATCATGAAGTGCTTCCAAATAGTAAAAATCTTTGAGTGACCAGTTTTACCATACTCATTTTCCCCAATAGACTGTAGTGTTATAAAAAACCATTAGGAAAACAAAAAATGTAATATGGATTTCCGTTCATAAATATCTTGATAATCAGACAGGCGATCGGCTTGTAAAAGTCATGGGATTCCTGACTGCCCTAAAGGTTTATAATTATGATTGCAGCATGAGCTAAGTCCAGGATTTTGTTTCAGAATCTGAGGCAATGGTACTGAGTCACTTTAAAGGGTTAAAAGAAAAAGGAGACGCGTATGACTTACCGTGCTATCAGTGTCTCTGATATGGTGTTATTGAAGCCCTAAAAAATTACGCTTCAAAATGATCAAAAAAGTAAACATCTTTGAGTGACCATTTTTACCTAACACATTTTCCCCAATAGACTGTAGTGTTATAAAAAGTGTAAAAAAAAAAAAATACAATTTAGATTTCCGATCATAAATATCTTGATAATCAGACAGGCGATGGGCTTGTAAAAGTCATGGGGTTCCTGACAGACCTAAAGGTTTATAATTATGATCGCAGCATGAGCTAAATACAGGATTTTTATTTCAGAATCTGAGGCAATGTTACCGAGTCACTTTAAAGGTACTATGTCCCATTTGAAGGCCCAAAAAATAAAAAAGGTTAAATTCCAATGGCATTTGGAAGACAATACTAATTGAGAAATTCCCTAAAAAAAGGAGGCTTGAAAATGTCTGTAAGTAGGAAAATAGCGACTATTAGTTGTCGAATTGACTTAGGAGCTATAGAGCCAGTCAGTACCGGTAATAGTCTGATTTTTCAGACCATTGTACTGAATGGTCATACGTTTTATGCTGCGCAAAGATTCAATCAGTTTAATTTTAGCCATTACAAGACGTGAGTTATTGATGTAGACAAATGCTCATGTACTCTTTACAGCTCATTTTATGTATGTTATTACCAAAGATGAAAAAAAGCCAGTCAGTCACTCAATAGTGTCTGACAGTGAAGTCTATCAAGTAAACAGGTTTCCTTGCATAATTTAAATATAAGGACACTGCTAAGGCCTAAAATAAAAACTTGTTGCATTGCCCTTTGCGACTGACCCAAAAATCTGAAAATCTACGGTCGGCACTTTAAAAAAAAGAAATTTTTTTAAACCCTTTTTTAGATTTTTTGATATTAATGAATAAAAAAATATGTATTTTGTTTGTTTAAATGCGTATAAATGCATAAAATCAAATTATTCCAAAATTCTCACTCGTGCAAGCCATGGATAATTATAAGGTGAAAAAGATATCAATGGAATAATGTGAAACACATGTATTAAAGCATTAAAAACTTAGAAATATCAGCCAAAAGAGGGCGGGAAAAAAACAGAAAAAAAACACAAAAACATTCAAATCTGAAAAAAAATATCGGCCCAGAATGGGCGACCAAAAAAAAGTTTTAAAAAATAAATAACTTTTCTGACCGACCGACCCATGTTTTGGCACCCAAAGGGCAATGCAACAAGTTTTTATTTTAGGCCTAATATTTAAATTTCACAGATAGGACATACATGACATATTCGTAATTCCTGCAAAGTTCTACAGAATTTGATGTTGGCTGCAAAAGGGACATAATATCTTTAAAGGGTTAAAAGAAAAAGGAGACGCGTTCCACTCACCCCGTGCCTCTTCCTGGTGAAAGCTGACATGTCAGAAGCTGTGTGGTGTAACTGTTGAAAGAACTTGACAACATCCACCTGCATACACGTCCAGCAGAAGCAACAAAAGACAAGAGAAGGCAAAGATTTTGGAGAATATAATGCTACGGTCACAAAGGTTTTGTACGAACGATAATTTTGTACGAATCTCCGTTTTTCCATTGTCTTCCCGAATTTCCATTGTCTGAAAATCGTTCGTACGGCGTTCGTAGCAGTTCGTAATGGTATCTGTGACCAAGGCATAAGCATTAATACAAAGGGAGGCAAATTAAAATAAGAGGCAAAGAGAGTGATGCAATCTCAAGCCTTTAATACCATGATAAAAAGTTACAAAGTATTAAAGCCCCACTGCACTACTTATAATTACTTGCGCCCTCTATACAGCCAACAGTGCCTAAGCGATACCTATTGATCCCCCATGATGCCCTTTTTCCTATATTTATTGAGAGCTGATTTGATGAGATAACCACCTGCCAGTGACCTTCCAGGGAGGTCTAATTCCTCCAGGCCAAACTAGTGCAGAGGGGCTTAAAACTCAAATAAAAAATGACGGAGAGATAAAAAGGAACACAACTTTGAAAAATCTATAAATTGGCAACACATGGAAAGGTTCAATATCATTGTTTTTCAATCAATTTTTAATTTTTTTTAACTGCTTTGACAAAGCTTCTTCTTTTCATGTATATTTTTATCAGAGAAATCACATTTAATCAGAATAATGTGGCATTAAAAGAAAATTCTATCATTGCCAATTTGAAGAACAAGATGTGATCAATACAGCCGTTAAAAGTTCCTGTCCCGAAAGGATTAGCACCTTTAAGACTCTGCAGAAGGCCATAATTCGCTGACACCAGACTTGGTGGAAATACAATTAATGTGTTTACAAGTCTGCGCACAGCGAACCCGTAGGTCCATCAAGAAATACCCTTTCGTCTCTCGGAGAGTCTTCGGGTGAGGGAAAAGTGAGATAATGATTTTACCTTATGGAGGAATGGATGAGGAAATTATTCATACAAAGCATTACATAAGGCATTTTGGTCATAAAACTGAAGGCTAATCCTGGTGATTGACAACGCCTGTTATAGGGTAAACACCTGAACGGTGTCGAATTCCCCAAGAGAGCCGACTACTATGCGCCTGTAACATCTTTCAGACTCTCAGCAAGCAAATTCCTTCACGATTAACCTACCACTTTTGATGGCTGGTGGATGAACAGAAGACGACAAAACATCTTCAGAAATCTAGCACCCTCTTCTGTCTCGGGACTGCACAGTGACCAGTGTTTGAGGATTTCTGTTGGTTTCCCATCTTCCCCATTTAGACCTTCAAAGAAAAGAATTTGTGTTCAGTTGACGAGGCTACATTCACAGATGTCACGTTCTGTATAAAACCAGACATTTTGAAATGCTACAAAATAGATAAATAACAGTGACAAAAAACATTTAGTCCTTTGATGCGTAACGAAAGGTTAAATAGTTAGAAATGGTTAAAAACTGCTTTTAAAGGTAAAGATCAGTTCAGGTCATGCGATTGCATTGTAAAAGAAACGTTGTGGAATCGATCAGAAAAGATCATCTAGCATATAAGTATTGGTGTGTACTGCAAGGTTCTGGAATCATCAAAATTATAAGAAATTTGGCCCAGTCTTGGTAAAGTTACAAGCACTGTACACAGAAAGATGTATATGGGGCTACACGACACGTGCGCGATATCTATCAGGTCCAAATAGATATGATAATTTACCAAATATATAAATTAGTAGGCGGTTTCCCGCAAAATTTGTATCATCACGTATTAGTCAAAACATATTCTTTCACATGATTGGTAATAAGAGCTTCCATTTCATTTTTTGAGAGGGGGGCGTTTCCAAAACTGGTCTTTAACTTTAACCACATAATAAAGGCCCACACTTTGCTTTCAAGGCAGGTTGGTTTAAGATTTTTTTTTAGTCCTTGCTCCCAAATGGTTTTTACTGACCATGGCACTATAATACAAAGATTTGCAATTGGTAGCTGCCGGTAAGTCCGGGCACATCATCATTTCACTATTTGATGTGGATTAGATCTACTTGACATTGTCATTATGGTCTTCTATTGTGAAGCTGCAGAATGGTATTCTCATACATCTTGGAAATTTCTGTCGTACCGTGGGTGCCTAGGAACGAACGTTGATGGCGCATGTATCGTGTAACGCGAAAACTGGCAGGGGAGATTATTTGTGTGGCATATGAGTAAAGAGTTAAAGCCCCACTTCACTTCTTATATGTGCCCTCTATATATAGCAAACAATGCCTAATTATGGTCCCCATAATCCCCTTTTTCTTTTGTTAATTGAGAGCTGATTTGATGAGATAACCACCTGTTAGTGACCTTGCAGGGAGGTCTAATAGCTATTTGTGCCCTCTATATAGCAAATAATGCCTAATCGGTGCCTGTTAGTCCCCCATGATCAACTTTTTCTTAAGTTAGTTGAGAGCTGATTTGATGAGATAACCACCTGTCCGTGACTTTGCAGGGAGGTCTAATCCCCCTGGCCAAACTAGTACAGACAGGCTTTAAAACTCACCACTTTCCATTGCTGTCTCTAGGTCCAGTTCTTTAAGGACACATTGGAGGAGCTTCTCGGGGTACAGCTGAGAGAGGAGCTCTAGTTTACCGAGCCGTAATGCTGTACCAATTAATACACAAGAAAACATCAAAGAATGTACAAGAAAAGAAAATAATATAATAATAATTTATATAGCGCTTCAGACATCTACGATGTCTCCATTCAAGTTAACTAGAAGTTTATTAGTATTTATTATCATCAAATTATCATTGTGTGCACCTATACACCCAACAAGCATTGCTTCCAAGTACGTTCATATTTCATTTCCTGTACCTAAATAATTTAGCATTACAAGACTAAAAAAAAAACAATATCAAAGATGTTTCAATGCTAATTTTTGGTTAAATCATTTTGTTTGTAATTGTGATAATCTTATCATTGTTATATTATGTGGAAAATGAAATGAATTTGCTCTGCATAGAGCAACTACTACTAAGCACATAACAGAAAGATAATTACCCCAGTCTTCCAGTCGTCGATTATTGCGTCAGAAATTGAAATGTGTTCTATAGACTGTTCTCTGTTGTGAACAGGTAAAAAAAAATAAGGCCATGCCTATCCAGAAGACAACTCCTACTTTTAGATTACTGTTGCTGTTTTTGGTTTGTGTTTATGTTTGTTTGTTTGTTTGTTTTGTTTGTTTGTTTATGTGGTTGTTTATTTTTTTTATTTTGTGTGTGTGTGTTTGTTTGATTGTTTGTTTGTTTGTTCATGCCTACCAAGAAGACAACTCCTACTTTTAGATTACTGTTTTTGGGTTGTGTCTTGTTTTAGTTTGTTTGTTTTTGTTTGTTTGTTTGTTTGTTTTCATTTGTTTTTATTTGTTTGTTGGTTTGTGTTTGTTTTGGTTTGTGTGTTGGTTTGAGTTTTTATTTGCTTGTATGTTTGTTTGTTTTTTCTCACCTAGTGGAATGATTGAGTTCACATCCAGAGCCTCCTTCACCTCAGCTGATAGGGTTGGTCCACCTGTTGCTTTCATCTCTCCCTGTAACAATGTCAGGGGGGTGTTTCACAAAGATCCAAACTTGAACTTATCTCTAAGTTGGACTTAAAAACTATAGAGTGCCATTTGTAGCCTCAAAATAAAATATATTCACAAGCAAATATTTAAGTATTTCAGACTTTTCATAAATTCCACATCAAGAACATGAAATCTCCCATGATAGTTGAAAATATGAATGATTTGAATCAATATTTTTTGCCTTTTAAAATATTTTCAAAGGTGCTAACGGCTCTCCGTAATTGTTAAGTCCAACTTAGGATCTTTGTGAAACACCCCCTAGATCAGTAACAAGCAAAATGAAATAGCTCTAATACATTCAAATTGGATGAGCTTGAAAGGAATGATGCAAGTAAATGAACAAAGATGTATATTCAAAATGGGGGGGGGGGGGGGCGGTATTCAAAACAACAATTGTAATACTTTAAAGATTTTTTCGGACATAGAATGATTTAATAGGACTTGTTGGGATTTTCTGATTAACCTTAATGCACAGGCCATTAAATGGTGTTTGGGCATTATCTGTATACTGAACTCACCTTCGCCACCTTATCTCTTTGCTCCTGCGTTTGATAGAAGTCTTTCAGGAGCAGAAGCATCGACTTGTTAAGAGTGGTGTCAGGAGTGGGATCGAGATCCATTCATATTTCAATGGACCTTACCATGGATCCTGAGAACTTTTGTCACCTTGGGTGCAAGAGGTCTTTTAGGACTGTAAGACTTGCCTAATTGATAGTCACATCCAGAGTAGGAACATCCCTTGAAGAAACTAATGCCGGGAATTTTTAGAGGAACTAGTGGCATGAAAGGCCTGCCATAGTTAGGTCTAACTTCGAGTCGATCTTAGTCTTTGTGAAACACTCCCCAGGAGCCTTCAACATGGATTTTGACAACTGAAAGAACTCACCTTCGCCACGTTATCTCTCTGCTCCTGCGTTTGATAGAAGTCTTTCAAGAGCGGAAGCATCGACTCGTTAAGATTGGTGTCAGCGGTGGGATCGGGTCTTTCTTTGAACCTCTTCTGCAAGTTGGCAACCTTTTCCATTAGTTGTGGATGTTTGCAACTATCCACACCCTGATTATTTCAAATAACAAATTTTAAAAAATTTGAAATTGGGGAATCTCCCAACAATTAATCGCAAAACTACCTCAATGGTTTTTCTGATAAGGATAACTCTACTACTACTACTACTATTTCTACTAAAATAATAACAATGATAAGAAGAACAAGAATGAGAACAAGAACAAGAAGAACAAGAAGAAGAACAAGAACAAGAAGAACAAGAACAAGAACAAGAACAAGAACAAGAACAAGAACAAGAACAAGAAAAAGAAGAAGAATAAGAAGGGAAAAGAATATCATCAATAAACGGCACAAGTACTGTGCCATCAATCTGAAACCTCTATTCTTAAAATAGATCTAATAAACAAAGTCCCAAAGAGGCCCATATACTTGTGTCAAGGGTGTATGTATCATCCTACATTACTGAATTTTACTACCTTCATGAACTAGGATGCAGTATTCAATTCCCCCAAAAGACTTTTTGTTTATATTTGTGTTACAATCAACATACCTGAGACAAAGATACTAAAAGGGCTTCATTCTGGAAGATTTTGGGATCTTGAAGAAGGTCAAGATCAGGGTCGGACACAACAGCGCCCTCTCCAGTCGATTCTGAGTACACCTTCTGCAGCTCTACTGAGGCGGCCATCTTGTTAAGTTCCAAGTCCTGGAGATGTTGAGTTGTGTTTGGCTCAGCTGCTTTGGCAGCCATTGAAGCATCTTGCATCTTGGTGAAATAATAATATTATAAAGCAAGGGATATTAACGACACTCACACATCACCATGGGTTTTCATGGGTAGTTTGACACCATTGGCCTGGGTGTTTACTCAATAAAAGGTTTGACTCCATTATGAGTCAATAGGCGCGTCTTCATCATCTCGAGATTGCCAAATAGCCTGCTATTTCTGATTTGGGAAATAATCCCGAAGTTACAAATCGCGTCTTCATCAGCTCGAGATTCGACCTCGAAACTTGAAACTCGACCTTGAGAAATTAGCTTGAGATATTTGCTCAGCGTTCGCACGTAGTGCGAGTCTTGGGTCTGGTGAAGACGCACCTGACAAATAGCTGGATATTTTGCCAAATAGTGGGATATTTTGCCAAATAGTGGGATATTTTGTAAACTATCCCAATAAATATCCTGCTATTTGCAACTTCGGGCTGATGAAGATGCAAATTAGCTGGATAGTTTGCAGATCTGGATAGTTCAAATAGCGGGATATTTGGCAATCTTCGAGCTAGTGAAGACTGGCCTAAAGTCCTTTTGGCTCAAAACAGATGAGGTGTCTTCTTCTTCTTTCTTCTTGTCCTGAGACGTTGGCGACCATGGAATGCCACAACTCCCTGTCCCATATTCTATGAAGTATTAAATTTGATCCACCCAAGATCAATTCCACTTTCAGAAATCCCACTCCCTAAGCTACTCATCCACAGAATCCTCCTTCTACCCCTAGTCCTCCTCTATTCTTCCAGTCAGTGCAAGGTTTTCCAAACCGTTCTTTCAAATAACATGATCCAACACTATGAACATGACGGACAAAGAAAGAGGACAAATATACAGTTCCTCATTCTACCCTCAACAATTGATGTGGTAGACAAAGGAACATCCCTTCACTGCTATTATGTAAAAATGTGTAGAACAGGTGTCACATGCATATTCACCTGTTCTACACATTTTTACATAATCGCAGCGAAGGGATGTTCCTTTGCCTACCACAGCAATTGTTGAGGGTAGAATGAGGAACTGTTTATTTTGTCCTCTTTCTTTGTCCGTCATGTTCATAGTGCAAGAAGCTCAGCTGTCGACCTCTGATATTATTCAGAAGCTTTCAATGAAGATGAAGTGTATCTTACCTGTAATAACCAGATGCCATCCGTAGACCAGATCCCGACCTGGGGTACACTTCCAAGTATGGACCATAGGTTGATTGTATCGGCTGAGGTGATGGAAGATAGGTTGATCTCTTGCAGGAGAGTGCCTGACTCTGAGCTGTAGACTCTGCATTTAAACAACAGAGTAGAATATTTATATTATATTGACTGGGTTTGAGGGGTACATCTGCATCTACACGGTCAATATTTCTGATGTACCCCAAAAGAAGCCTTGTCAATGTAATTATTGTTACCTATAAAAGGCATTTAAAAAAAAATTAAATACAACTTTGGTATCATGCATTTATTTTTAGTATTTCCCTTACTCTTGTTCAGAGATGAAAATGTATGAAAAGGTCATTGTGACGTAAATTGATACCACGCGTACACTTTAACGCATACCCAATATTGCGCGTATAAGCACTTTGATAAATGCGCACTGACAAGAAAGAGTCGAATATGGCAGAATGTTGCCCTCTGATTTTGTACAGTGGTCGACATGGAAAACCAGGAAGAGGGCAATATGGCAAATGTTGGCCGCTCCGGTTTCGTATTCAGGGTAGCGAGCAAAATACTTTTTATTTTACAGCTAAATTGCCTTATATGTGTAACAATGTAAAATAAGGTTTTCCTGAGAGTACTCCATGGTTCAGTCGCTGCTTCGAAAGCATGGAACAATATCCCACTTTCCATCAGAGAATTAACCTATCTTGCCTCGTTCAAAATATATCCCTTAAAGCCCGTCTGCACTAGTTTTGCCAGGGGGGATTAGACCTCCCTGCAAGGTCACCGACAGGTGGTTAACTCATCAAATCAGCGCTCAATTAACATAAGAAAAAGAAGATCATGGGGGACCAACAGGCACAGATTAGGCATTATTTGCTATAGAGAGGGCGCAAGTAGCTATAAGTAGTGCAGTGGGGCTTTAAAACATACTTCTTCTGCGGTCCGCGGTTCGAGTCCCGCCGCGGCACTAATGTCCTTTGGCAAGATATTGATCTACATTTGCCACACTCAACCCAGGTGATGTAATTGGGTACCTGGTAGGAATTAATTCCTTGAAATGCTGGAGCGCCGCAATGGCAGCACAGCTAAAGCCGGGGTAATAATCTTCAAGTTTGGAAGCGCTTAGTGATTCTAAAGAGCGCTATATAAAAACTGAGTATTATTATTATTATTATTATTATTATTATTCCCTCACTAACGTAATGTGATTTACCTATTTCATGTTTCTCTTCACATTCTGAAATTTATAAGTGCTATGGTACTTTTTGTTTCTAGCGCATCTCAATACCGGTACTCAGTAATATTATGATTATTATCACTGTCTGTAAAATGGTCATGTGACACTCAATACTTTGCTATATATTCATGAGCATGGAATATAAACTTTATGCGAGGTTTATCTCACGTGAGAGGTATCATTCTGTGAATCAGCGCTTCCCTGCACTACCTACTGTTTGCATGTCTAATTAGCTTTGTAGAGGTGTTGTGGTCGAGTGGAAACATCACCGGACTGTCGATCACAAGGTCCTCGGTTCGAGTCCCGCCGCAGCACTAATGTCCTTTGGCAAGACATTGATCTACATTTGCCACACTCAACCCAGGTGAGGTAAATGGGTACCTGGTAGGATTATTCCTTGAAATGCACCGTGCGCTGATAAGGCTGCTGGAGCTAAAGCTAGGGTTATAAAGTCCAAAGCTCTTTGGAAGCGCATAGAGATGTTATTTCATAACGCATTATGCGCTATACAAGAACTGAACTATTATTATATACAACATGTATTATTATTATTTAACAAAGGATGACACAGGAAGAAGTAAGGATGAGATTGCAAATTTCATACCTTTAATTTTCTATAACAAATGTTCTATACCAAACTTAGTAGTTTCATCCTCGCTTAGTAAAGATCCTAAGTTGAACTTATGTCTAAGTTGGACTTGAATAACATTGATGAAAAGCCGTTGGCATCTACATGTACAGTATGAAAATATTTTGTAAAATTTATTTTAAAAGGCATAACATGTTGATTCAAATCATTCATCTTTTCTATTTAATATCAAGGAGATTTCATGTTCATGAATTTATAAAAGTCAACAAAATTTGAATTTTCTCTTTTGAATATTTATTTTAAGGCTACAACTGGCTCTCCATGATGTTTAAGTCTAACTTAGAGTTAAGTTTGACTTGGGATCTTTGTGAAACACCCCACTGGTTACCTAATCATTCCTTCTTTAGGGAAGACTGCACCTATCATGAACCTCACAGCAAACCAGGCTGAGATGGATGAGACATCGACATCGGAGAGATGAAATGCTCCTACTTTCTCTTCTGTTGAACCAAGGAATAAAAAGAGTCAGCATTTAAAGATGAAGTTGAGTTCTGGTCATGCGATTTCATTGTGAAAGAGACGGTGTGGAATCGACCAGAAAAGGTTGATCATCTAGCATATAAGTATTTATGTGTATTGCAAGGTTCTGGAATCATCAAAATGATAAGAAATTTGGCCAAGTCTTGGTAAAGTTACAAACACTGTACACAGAGAGATTTATATGGGACTACACGAACACGTGGCGTAAAAATCCTACCCCCAAGTTTTACGATGTTACATGACATATTTAGAATATAAAGGCATTTGAAGAGCCATGCTTTTCAGGGAACATGTCTTATCTGATGTTCTTCCACATTTGCATAATAAGAATGATAACGCTCACAAAAGATTTTTTTTTTTTTTTGATGACAGATGATCAATGAGTTCAATATCAGATAGTTTTGAGGAGATATCCCATATGATTAGTTTTTTTGCTGAGAAAAATAAAGTGTTTTAGCTGTCACAATATTATACACTGTATGATCATCTAATTGAAGCCCCTCCATCAAACATACCTTCACTCCTTGAAACTGAATGCACCGACCTATCGTCCGACATCAGAAACACATTGCCAGTTTTTGCTTCCATCGTCATGGCAACTACTCTACCGTGGGAACTTTTTGCCACCTGCAAGTAATAAAAATGAATGACAGGAGGAAGAATCTTTATGAAAATAACACACTGAAGGGACTTAGTAACATTGTTCAGATGAGAGAAAAGGATGCTAAGGTAATGATTTCAATGCAAGATGTACAATTAAAAATAATCTGAAAGTCTGAGTGAAAATGGACCATTTATTAGTTAGTTTTCCAAACTATGTCATTTCAATTTAATTACATTTTAGGTGAATGTAAATTATCACAAAGCTATAAACTGGCTCTATATACCCTTCCAGACATTTAATTGTGGAAAGATTTTTAATAATAGCCTGTTTTATGTCTTAGTTTGAAGGAAAAACGGTTGGGAAAATTCAAAAATGGTTGCGAGAATTAACTGTGAATCACTGTCAGAGGGTGTTGCACAGTGATGCCTTCAAAGAAAACTATAAATATCTTTGTGGTTTAAGAATTTTCTCAGGATTTTTTGCCTGTTAGAGGGTTTAAACAGTAGAAGGAATATAATAAGTGACATTCCATACAAAAATTACACAGTTTTGTCGTCAACATTCAACAATGTTACTGAGTTACTTTAACAAGTTGTGATCTGACACATGCGCTAGAGCTGTTTGCTCTCAGCTGGACTTGCTTTTATCGGTGAAACCTGTATATAAAGACCGCTCAAGGGAAACGTGAAAAGTGATCTCCATAGGCAGATGGTCTTTATGTACAGGTTCCATTAGTTTCTTCTGCACTGAAGGCAAATGACAGGTTAGGCAAATAAGCCATCAGGGGGGCGTTTCACAAAGCCTTTTTTCAACGACAAATGACAAATATCAGTGACAAATCTGCTGATAACCAATCAGAAGCAAGGATTTCAGTAGCTTATAACAAAAACTTTCATTTGTCACTGATGGCAAGTTCAGTGAAACGGGTTCCTGGTCATCGCGTCGGGTCGGCTGCTTGCGTTACCCGACCTTTTGTGAATACATATGCCCCTTTGTCCACAACATGACAGGGGAAATATTAGTGAAACAAACACCTCTATCTACAAAAGGTCGCGTCATCTTCCGCTTTCGTTTTATGATGACCTGATGATTCGAAGTAGCTCCTGTATTAAAGGTATCGTTTAATAATGTTAAACCTGAGATGCATGGCCCTACATGTACATTTTATCAGTGTCTGTGATATGGTGTAAAAAAATTATGCTTCAGAACGATCCTGAAATGTCTCAAAAAAGTAAAAAAAATCTTTAAGTGAGCGGCTTTACCACACTCATTTTCCCCAATAGACTGTAGTGTTATAAAAACCGTTAGGAAAACATAAAATTTGATTTCGATTTCAAAACATAAATATCTTGATAGTCAGACAGGGGTTTGGCTTGTAAAAGTCATAGGATTCCTGACTGGCCTAAAGGTTTATAATTATCATTGCAGCATGAGCTAAATCCAGGATTTGTTTCAGATTCTGAGACAGAGTTACACTGTACCCAATCCCTTTACGGTTCAGTAGGAGCTAGAAGCCTTCTTACCTCACTCCAAATGTGTATCAGGTTGTCTGCTTGGTCCTTGAAATCTACAGGGAAACTAATATCCGTCTTGACACACCCCTCTCCAAGAATGGAAGTGGCCAGCTCTGGTGACTTGTCTGATGGCTTGAAATGAAGTCTGAAGTAGAGTCCAGCTGGACTGGGTTGACTGCAAGTTGAAATAGGGGGGGGGGGGGGGGGGGAGGGATGGGGGTGCAAGTTTTGGAGACAATTAAAGGAAAGAAAAAGTACCAAAGTTCTACACTCATGATTTCATCAGTGATTATGTTTTCAACTTCAATCTATGAAGATAAAAAAGCAAAATATGAACAGGATCCAGAATCATGGTAATTGAAATCGAGTTTATCTTGATAATGACCTGAGGAATACTATTAACAATGAGCTAAAATCAGGTTTCTATTGTTGTAGCAAGTCCCAATTTTTTATTTCTGATTTCTTGCTGTTTTTCTTCCTATAGTCGTGTTCTTTTTTACTATTATGACATTCCATACTTGTCAAGGAAACACATTACAATGGACTTGCCATTTTGTCGCTGAAAGTCCTCTCTTTTACTGCTGTTTCGTAGCCGATAAAAACGGCAAGTTTAGTATATCTGTTGTTTACCGGTATATCACATATAAATGCACAGAAAACGGCAGTAAAATCACAAATTTGGGGTGTTTCGGATTCATTGTGATTGTTTGTATTTATTCTGATGAAGCAAAAACTAAAAAACATATACAGTCAAACCTGCCTTAAAGATGAAGTTGAGTTCTGGTCATGCGATTGCATTGTGCAAAGAAACAGTGTGGAATCGACCAGTAAAGGTTGATCATCTAGCATATAAGAATTTGTGTGTATTGCAAGGTTCTGGAATCATCAAAATGATAAGAAATTTGGCAAAGTCTTGGTAAAGTAACAATCACTTACACAGAAAGATGTATATGGGACAACACACATGGTGTCGGGGCTAGTACTACCCTGATTTCCTTATCTTTCTATGCTCATTACTCAGCTAGTATGCATTTTCTTCCAAAATTGTTTGGCACATGACATTTATTTGTAATCTTGAACATTCAGTGTAAGTTTTGTTAGATTCTGTGAGAATTCATTTTCTTTTTTTACCAGAACTCAAGTTTATCTTTAACAGCAACCTCTCTATAAAGGAAACCTGTCTATAGTGATCACCTATATTGTCTCCCTCTACGAAAAAAATCTGTGATGTACCTGTCTAGAAAGACCACCTGTATACAGTGGCCAGTTTTACTGTCTCCCTTAGGTAAACCTGATGAATTCTGGAAAACATCAACTGCATCATACATCATACATCACTATGAATATGACTGACAAAGAAAGCGGACAAAATATACAGTTCCTCAGGTAGACAAAGGAACATCCCTTCGCTGCTATTATGTAAACATGTGTAGAACAGGTGTCACATGCATATTCACCTTTTTACATAATAGCAGTGAAGGGATGTTCCTTTGTCTACCTGAGGAACTGTATATTTTGTCCGCTTTCTTTGTCTGTCATATTCATAGTGCATGTACCTACACTTGCTACTCTCCACCAAGGTGTTAAATTGGGTACCCGGTAGGATGCGATCGTCTTCGCTAGTCAAATAGTTTCTGAGCGTCAAGTAATGCCTGGCTGTAATGCTCCCCAGGGAGTGGAGATTGTGCACAGATTGTGTCAAGCGGTCAAACGCTGAATCCAATGACCGCAGGTAATAGTATATGTATTAAGCTCTACATAAAAGCTGAATATTATTATTGTTATTATTACCTGGCAGGAATTAATTCTTTGTAATGCTAGAGCGCAACAATGGCAGCACAGTTAAAGCCGGGGTAATAATCTCCAAGTTTGGAAGCGCTTAATGATTCTAATAAGCGCTATATAAAATCTGAGTATTATTATTATTATTATTACCTGGGAAGAACTGTAATGCATTCTCCATTGTAGTTTGCGGCTAGTTGTAGCTCAGTCATGCACCCAGACAGAAGCAACGTGGATGACGTGATGCCCTTGCAATCTGGAAGGAGTATAATTATACTTGAATCAAATTATCTATCATTTAATAATATTGATAAAAATAGTTCATTCTTATATAGCGCTTTTCAGGACAGCAGGCCCTCTCAAGCGCTTTACAGATATATATTATTAATCCGGTCATCGGATTCAGGCTAATACATTAAGCCTATTTACTGTATTTTCAATTGATAAGGAATTAAGATTACCACTACGATGTTGATTATTTTCTTGGAGCCTATCAGGGTTGATTTGATTACATTTTAAGACAAACTACTTAAAAATTCATTCATTTTTGTCAAATTGAGCTGTTGCAACTGGTTTTGAGAAGAGTCACTGCATGATCTATTGTAATTTCCAATCAACATGGCCCCTTTAAAAGTAGGCCATAGTACAGCAAATATCTGTAATTGAGCTGCAGATGAAATGTGCTCTAGCTCCAATTCCTTTGATCATCTATGGTAAGAACTGATAACAGCGGCATCTGAAAAAGGGGTGGCTTTGGTGGAAACAGAAAAGGTAGAGCAGTGGTCTCGTGATCTGGAGACCCGGGTTCTAAACCAAGTCGATGCGCTAGTGCCCTTTGGTAAGGCATTAATCCTCATTACCAGGTCAATCGGCAGTGAAAAAAATACACCGTGGCTCATGCCCAAAAGAGCCCCCCGAAAATCAGAAAAGAGCCCTCATAATTTTGCATAGAGTTCAATGCAAAAAAACAAATTTTAGAGTGCTATTTTCATGCAGGCAAGCTTGAAAAGTAGCCCCCGAAAAATAAATATTAATTTGTTCCCTGTCATCGGCCGTCTGGTTGCTTACTTACAAGCATTTATGCTTTCTTAGCAGTCAGGTAAAATAACACCACCACCACCATAACTGCCACCTTGGATGTCAAATATGCATAGAAGTGGGCTCTCATTGGGAATTTGATACCGTTTGAAAAATACCCAAGAAAAGGAGTTGTCTATCACCCGTATTAGCCTTCATTTTATGACCAGCAGGCCTAATGTAACGCTTCCCTCAACCGAACACTCTCCGAGAGACTAGGGGGGTATTTTTTTTTATAGGACTCCGGGTTTGCTGTGTGCAAGACTTGTACACCAATTAATGGTTTTTCCATCAAGTCTGGTGTCAGCGAATTGTTGCATTCTGCACATGGAAACTGACGACAGACTCCCTTTAAGAGTTGGCTATGGTGAATGGAGAAAAGTTAGTCAGCAATTCCCATCTGGGATGTTAAACGGCACCCTTCAAGATTATCGCTGTTACTTACAGGGTTCCAACTCTGCAGTAAGCAGACACTGCTCTGCACCACTCCCCGAAGCCCCGGCCTCCTTCCGTTCCTCAACCCATACAAGCCTCTTGCCTTGCGTTGAACAGCAGATGGCACTCTTGACGCAAGCGTCGTTGGTGTCCGTACCCAGGGTGAACTGTCCTCTCTTGTGCCACGGGTGGATGTTGCTCTCGGTCGGTTGGATGTGCTCGAAGACCTTCACCAGGCCGTTCTTGTAGAACTGTGGGAAATGCATGAGAATGGAGCGATCAAAGGGCATCAGTACGTACGGAGCAAACAGTGGCATGAATGGCCTGCCGTAGTTAAGTCCAACTTAAAGTTGATCTTAGTCTTTGCGATACACCCCTCTGGTAGGAAAGAAATATTGGTACGCATTAACACGACTTCACTCATTCCTGCCAACTTTTCACTTCGGGGACATCGACAAGTTTGGTCTCTGTTTAATGTATATAGTATAAGCACTGATCACTCTGAGACTTTTCACTTCGGGAACATCGACAAGTTTGGTCTCTGTTTAATGTATAAAGTATAAGCACTAATCACTCTGAGACTTTTCACTTCAGGAAGATTGACAATTTGGTCTCTGTTTAAGTACATGTATTAACATCACTAATCACTCAAAGATATTTTAGACTCCTGATAGGAATGAGCGCAGTTGTGAAAATGTGAGTAAAAATGTTGTCTTCCCGGTGTATGTAGGTGGGGGGGGGTACAGATGGGCCATCCCTGCCCTAATCAATCAAACGACAAAGATAAAGAAAAGAAAAGAAGAGAAAAGGTATAATAATTATTAAAGGATGAGAAAAGATGATTGGACCCCCTCCCTCTTCCCCTATAAAGATGGCCTTATTATCAGTTTGCATTTGACTCAAATACCAGCCCTTCCCCCCCCCCCCCCCCCCCCCAATCCCCCTTTATATGGTGCCCCTCCAATTCAATCCAACTATCAATTCAAATCAAAACATCAAAGGAATGGAGATTTTTGTGCCCTTTCCAATTCTTCCTATTTGTGCTGTAATATAGGAATGTGCCCTACAGAAAAGTGGCCTTGCCCTAAAAATATTGAAATTTAAGGCCTGGGGGATTTTTTTTTTTTACACAGTGAACAAAATACAAATTCTCTGAGTAATTCTGTTATGGGCTAATTACACTCCTTTGATGTTTGAGCCCCCACTATGCAGGAATTACAAAGATAGGAAGATAATTATACTCACGACTAGGATGACGTCATGGGTATCCTGAGTGATACATATCTTGATGACAGGAGAGATCTTGGCCAGGATAGTGAACTGCTTAACACGCCTGGAAGATTTCAACTAGATATATACGAATGAATATAAAAGAAATTGTACTATACACACGTACATTACAATATATAAAATATATAATATCACATCTGCATAAACGTGTACTACAATATACTAAATACCACCACGTAAGAAAAGAATATAAATCACAATATAAACATATATATTACAATGTAAGATTTGTTATTATTTTATTTGAAGGGACACATTGAACACAGAGTATCACAAAAGGATATAATAAAAATAGATGGAAGATGAAACATGGACTATAATGGATTATTACCCGTATCAGACATCTGAGCTGGTCATTTACAAAACCGTATTGCCCTAGTTTTCACTAGCAGTGGGAACGGAGGGGTATATTCTTTGTATTTTCCTTGGTCTCCCTGCTCGTATAGACTTTGCGTGTAGAGACGAGTGAAAATATACCTTTGTATTTTCCACGGTCTCGCATCCGGGCATTTTGGTTTGACCGCGCCGTATTTTGTCATTTTCATTAACATCTATTATGCGTACGAGAACCTGCGCACTTTGCGCGCACTCTATTGTGACGTAATAATCACACCAAATGCACACTGTTTGCAGTGTATCGAAAATTTCGTCAAGCACTGGATGCACAGTGCTGGTTTGACAAAGTTTGTTCAGTTATTTGAGATTGTCATGGTGGATTTCTGTATTTGCTCTAGATGTCTGATTTGGATAACAATAAAAATATCAACTGGCTTTACTTTCGGGGGATATCAGAAATATTGACCGCGCTACATGTAAGACCATATTGCCCTCGTCTTTCGACTCGGGGCAATATGATCTGAGCTTGGTCAATATTTCTGATATACCCCTCAAGGCCAGTCAATATTATATAAAGGTAATTATTTCATTTATGCCAGGAAAAGTGCCCCTCCTTTTAAGGAGAAAAAGAGAAAGCCTGGACCCCGCCCCCCCCCCAACTACGGGGTCGGAGGGACCGCATGCGTGTTCCCAAAATGTCCGGTAAAGGGGTACTTTTCATGCACCAAAGTCTGGCTTGTAGTAAACAAAAATCTGGCCCGTATTGACTATATACACACCGGACTTAGGGGGGTGTTTTCAAAAGGAGGGAACATATACAAGTACCCTAAATAATACTGAGTGGGGGGGCCGGGGCCTGGACACCCCCATACTGAATGGATCTTCTTACCAGCCCATCTTTAGTGACGTAATTATGCTCAAATGAGAGTCCCTCCAACTACATGACCTAAACACCCCCATACTGAATGGAGTTGTCTATATTCAGTATGTGCTATACAATTCTCTGAGTGTCCCTCTCCCTAGACAGTATAACCCCCCCCCCCCCCAAAAAAAAAAAAAAAAAATGACATGGAAGGGACACCCCCACGCTGAATGAAGTGTCTTCTACAGTGCAACTTCTAATCTTTGATGATACAGTATAGTCCCTCCTTTCAATGACCTGGGGAGTGATTCACAAAGACCCTAAGTTGAACTTAGCTCTAATTTGGACTTAACGGTTATGGAAAGCCGTCGGCATCTATGAAAATATTTTGTAAAAGTTATTTTAAAAGGCATAACATGTTGATTCAAATCATTCATATTTTCTATTATCAAGGAGGTTTCATGTTTTTGATGTGGAATTTATACAAAGAACTTGAATTTTTGCTTTTGAAGGTTATAGCTCTTCATAATGTTTAAGTCTAACTTAGAGTTAAGTTTGGCTTAGGATCTTTGCGAAACACCCCCCTGGACACCCCTGATATCTAATGGATCACTTTCTCATGTACAGAATGTTCTACCTGATATGCTCTGACAAGTTCCCCTCCTTCTAAGGAGACAAAGAGATGGCCTGGACACCCCCATACCGAATGGATCCTCTTTCTCAGTACACCTTCTCTTGTAAATATTGCTTGCAAATCCTGCACAAAATTGAAGAAAATCAAAAGAAAGTCAAATTAGGAAAGTGAAAATAATGCTTGCATGCACATTGATATAATTAATTTGAATAAAGGATAAATTAGACGCTTTATAACTATGGAAATAAATATAGCAAACAGAACTGGTCTTAAATTAATTCAATCTGTTACAAATACATTGCAACCTGTTTAAAGGGGGACAAGAAAAGTGGTCTTTATAGGCTGGTGGTCTTTATGTATAGGTTCCTTTAATACATGTGTAAAGGTAAAAATTGCAGTATTTATTTTAATAGACAGGTGGTCTTTCTATACAGGTGGTCACTAGTCGCTGATTGTGTATAGTACAGTGTACTAGCTATGATTCAAATTATGTTAGTTACAATGGTCACTGCGTATACTGTTAGTCATGATGTTGCTCCAAATGGGATAGCATGGGCCACTGGCACCAGGGTGTGGGAGAGGGTGTGGGAGAGGGTGTGGGAGAGGGGGGTGACCTGTCTTATAAAGGGAATAAAATGTGAACTAACACAGCCACCGCTTCAGTGGAGGCTGTGTGAGAGGACCATAAAGTCTTCAATTCAATCCTGTTGCCATCTTTTCCTTTACTTTTCCTCTTTTTTTTTCTTTTTCTTTTTTTTGGCGATTGAGTCCCGGCCCCCACTCCCCTATCTTTTCTTTTCCTTTTTTCCTTTACCACTGTGTGTACATGCATATCTAACATGTCTATCATTGCATCAATCACCAATGGACCATTTGCGTAATGTCATCAAGTTTAATACTTAGTACATGAATCTTTGTTAGGTGCCGTGTTACAAATTATTTCATTCACCCCTTACAAATAATTGTATTTCAAAAGTCAGAATGCAAATTGCATGTTTGTTGTTTATACATGTAGGTACTGTACATGAAGGACAGGCCTAATCATATGGCTCGTCCTACCAGTACATGTACCAAACACGGAATCTGTACAATTCGCATTCTGACTACCAGTATTGAAATACAATTATTTGTAACAAGTGAATGAAATAATTTGTAATGAGGCACTTACATGTACATGTAACAAAGATTTGTGCGTTAAATTTGATTACATTACAAAAATGGCCAATTAATTGGTCTCTTGCTCACTAACATTCATTAATCTCTTGCTCACTCATAATAGACCGGTTTACTAGCGTTTCAAATTGTATGTATACTTTTAAAGGTTGTTATTGACAACCTGAAAACTTGCCTGAGGCTTGCCACACATATCAACAAGTAATATATATATGCAGACTGGATTCCAAGTATTGTATTTCATTCATAAATACCAGATTAATGGAATAACTCGTCGCTAGGTCTCCAGGGACGAAACATCCATAAATTTGAATATATGTTAGTAAACCGGTCTTTCAAATAGACCTGTTTACAAACAAATGTATACATGTTTCTCTCCAATTACTACAATTAACTATGAAATTCCCCCGCTATTCACGATGGCCTCACCATAGATGGAATACACTTTGCAAACATTCCTTGTTGATATGTCTGGCAAGCATATGAGGAGCGTCTTTCAGAAGAATGCATTAAATCAGTAAATGGGTCTAGCAATCATTCTCATGATCACATGTCCTAAAAGATTAGACTAAGCCAAGTAAATAATACAGTGTACATGTATATTAAAGTTGATCATGCGTGGGTATAGAGGGCAGCACACAGACGTACGCATGGGAACGTACATGTAATACGCATTGCCTAAGTGTTATGTAGTGCTCGCCAAGTTGCCTACTTCAAAAACGATTATACACTGTATACCCACGCATGAACATCTTCAAAGGAGAGATATACAGTACCACTGTCACTGGTAGAACACTAGAACACTAATACTCAATTTTCAGTTAACCAAATCAATATTTCATATATTTTGTAAGATATGTTTTATTATCATCACAAGCAGAAAAGTTTTTATTAACATGCCCTGAGAAATCGCCTAATAATTTCCACTTTAACTTGTTGAAAAAAGGAAAAAAAAGCAATGTTTTATTTTCATCTTAAGCAGTAAGGTGTTGATTTTACATCCCTGAATAATTTCCATTTTAACTTGCTGAAATCTTTCAAAAGTGCAATGACCATAAAAAGGGAAAATTTTTATGTTACCGGTACTTTGAAAATAATGTCGGACAATTCTACTTCATGGAATAAGAATCAAGATTTAGCCTGAATCTAAAAAGTATCAGTAAAAAAAGCGACTCCATTTTATAGTGGTTTCTGCCATTACATGTAGTTAGTTGCACACACACACAGCCGTACATTGGTTTTACACCAGAAAAACCATCAATTGGCAATCTTAGCATTCATACATGTATATCCATTGCGTATTAAATCTACATACTGTACTATATATTTATTATGTCATCTATTTTTCACCAAATCATTTGTTTAAATATTCAATCTACACAGAAAAAAAACTCCACAGCAGCTTTAGAACTGTTAATATCCTGCAATCTATGATCTACAAAAAATCAGGGTATGACATCATTTAAATGACTGCAATGATTATGTAAACATCAATCATAAAATGAGATTAAAGGCTTGTTCAGAATATAAGGCGCTGTACTCCGCTGCAAAAAAGCCACCAAGTTTTTGAAGTGAATGATGACTGCATGCAACACAGGACTTGCACGTTTTCACAGAGCTCGATGTTATAAGAAATGTGGAGCATATTATACTTTACGTCATTTTAAACAATAAAATCACATTTTTGAGCGCCATATCTGAACGAGCCTAATGCCTCAGTCACACCTTTGTGTATTATTTATGGCTAGCCGTTTGAACGTTTAATCCTGTTAATTCTAGATATCAAGAAATGATTTTCGGTTGTAAAGCAATGGTAATTCTTGATATCAAGAAATAGGAATAAATGTTAAAACGACTTGCCATAAATATGCAGCGATACGCAAGCCAAATACGCACAGGTGTGACTGAGGCATAAAAAATGCCCCAAATAATACATTTTAAGGGAAACAATCCATTCTTCAATATGTGCTCAGTCCATTGTTTTTACTCTCACGTCTTCAAGCCTGGATGAAGCTAGCCCTAACTCTAAACCTAACTTAAAACCCAATCGCAAACCTAACCCTACGACTACATGTACATGTATATTTGATGAAATGCATTTAGAGCCCACAGCAATTATTGCCTTATTTACATGTAGCTCAAGATTCTACAATGATAATCACAATCATGTGTGGTGTCATGTACATGTGCATATTATTATTATAATCATTATTTATTCGGTAAAAACAAAGAAAATCATTGAATTCAAAACAAGAGCACATTTGGAAAAGAGTCGCATGGATGCCCAAAAAAAGAAAAAGATTAACTAAATAACTGTAACCCGAAGGTCTTCTTTTCCAATCCATGTGACTTAACAGAAATGGTAGCAATAATAAAATGATGGGGGATAACGATTAATGAATCACTCTGTAATCAACAATAATATTCATTGACAAGATAAAAATGAAAAAATGAAAAATGAAAAAAAAAAATTAACCCCTTCCCCCCCCCCCCCCAAAAAAAAAGAAGAAACATGCCGCTTTGTGTACACCAGCACCAGGGGGGAGGGGAATTAAAAAATATTTTTAAAAGGTGAATACATGCACTCAAATCCGTCATTTAAGATTAACACAGTTTGCTGTTATTTATTTACTTCGGAATGAAAATAATTGAGCACCAATCATTGATGTGTTTGCTTTCTCAACACTCATATCATCCTGATACGGTATTCCTTTCCTGGAAATAGTATGTGTACATGTATTTACAACCATGAACTGTACGGGTCCATTGATTTGGCATTAGGAATTAAGCAGAAAATGGAATGAACATTTATACAAATATCAAAATCAGTACAAAGTAAAGAGAGGCTAAAGCTATGGTCACAAATCAGAACAGCGACCGACCGATCAGTAGCCTGCTCGGTCGCTGCTGGAATTAAGCATCGCCCAGCAATTAGGTCGGTGCCCGGGCGGCGACCGCCCAGGCACCGAGCATATTTTGGGCGGCGAGTGAAAAATGAGCAGGCGCCGCCCAAATTTTAACTCCGCGCCAAAACTTCAGCGGCGACCGAGCGATGCCCTAAAAACGAGCGGTGCCTGGGCGGCCGCCGCTCGGTGGCCGGGCAGCCGCCGGGCAGAATTGGTTAAAAACTCGCCGCTCGGCCGCCGAGCAGCCTACTTTTGGGTAATGTGACCATAGCATAAGGAGGGAAAAACATGCATGTACAGTATAATATAAAGCAACGTAACA